GGGACGACTGTCTTAGACTGAACAGTGTTAGGTGTAACAGTGATGACTATATGAGACCTGGGACGACTGTCTTAGACTGAACAGTGTTAGGTGTAACAGTGATGACTATATGAGAACTGGGACGACTGTCTTAGACTGAACAGTGTTAGGTGTAACAGTGATGACTATATGAGACCTGGGACGACTGTCTTAGACTGAACAGTGTTAGGTGTAACAGTGATGACTATATGAGAACTGGGACGACTGTCTTAGACTGAACAGTGTTAGGTGTAACAGTGATGACTATATGAGACCTGGGACGACTGTCTTAGACTGAACAGTGTTAGGTGTAACAGTGATGACTATATGAGACCTGGGACGACTGTCTTAGACTGAACAGTGTTAGGTGTAACAGTGATGACTATATGAGACCTGGGACGACTGTCTTAGACTGAACAGTGTTAGGTGTAACAGTGATGACTATATGAGACCTGGGACGACTGTCTTAGACTGAACAGTGTTAGGTGTAACAGTGATGACTATATGAGACCTGGGACGACTGTCTTAGACTGAACAGTGTTAGGTGTAACAGTGATGACTATATGAGACTGGGACTGGACGACTGTCTTAGACTGAACAGTGTTAGGTGTAACAGTGATGACTATATGAGAACTGGGACGACTGTCTTAGACTGAACAGTGTTAGGTGTAACAGTGATGACTATATGAGACCTGGGACGACTGTCTTAGACTGAACAGTGTTAGGTGTAACAGTGATGACTATATGAGACCTGGGACGACTGTCTTAGACTGAACAGTGTTAGGTGTAACAGTGATGACTATATGAGAACCTGGGACGACTGTCTTAGACTGAACAGTGTTAGGTGTAACAGTGATGACTATATGAGAACTGGGACGACTGTCTTAGACTGAACAGTGTTAGGTGTAACAGTGATGACTATATGAGACCTGGGACGACTGTCTTAGACTGAACAGTGTTAGGTGTAACAGTGATGACTATATGAGACCTGGGACGACTGTCTTAGACTGAACAGTGTTAGGTGTAACAGTGATGACTATATGAGACCTGGGACGACTGTCTTAGACTGAACAGTGTTAGGTGTAACAGTGATGACTATATGAGACCTGGGACGACTGTCTTAGACTGAACAGTGTTAGGTGTAACAGTGATGACTATATGAGAACTGGGCAACTGTCTTAGACTGAACAGTGTTAGGTGTAACAGTGATGACTATATGAGAACTGGGACGACTGTCTTAGACTGAACAGTGTTAGGTGTAACAGTGATGACTATATGAGAACTGGGACGACTGTCTTAGACTGAACAGTGTTAGGTGTAACAGTGATGACTATATGAGAACTGGGACTGGGACGACTGTCTTAGACTGAACAGTGTTAGGTGTAACAGTGATGACTATATGAGACCTGGGACGACTGTCTTAGACTGCACAGTGTTAGGTGTAACAGTGATGACTATATCAGACCTGGGACGACTGTCTTAGACTGAACAGTGTTAGGTGTAACAGTGATGACTATATGAGAACTGGGACAACTGTCTTAGACTGAACAGTGTTAGGTGTAACAGTGATGACTATATGAGACCTGGGACGACTGTCTTAGACTGAACAGTGTTAGGTGTAACAGTGATGACTATATGAGAACTGGGACGACTGTCTTAGACTGAACAGTGTTAGGTGTAACAGTGATGACTATATGAGACCTGGGACGACTGTCTTAGACTGAACAGTGTTAGGTGTAACAGTGATGACTATATGAGACCTGGGACGACTGTCTTAGACTGAACAGTGTTAGGTGTAACAGTGATGACTATATGAGACCTGGGACGACTGTCTTAGACTGAACAGTGTTAGGTGTAACAGTGATGACTATATGAGACCTGGGACGACTGTCTTAGACTGAACAGTGTTAGGTGTAACAGTGATGACTATATGAGACCTGGGACGACTGTCTTAGACTGAACAGTGTTAGGTGTAACAGTGATGACTATATGAGACCTGGGACGACTGTCTTAGACTGAACAGTGTTAGGTGTAACAGTGATGACTATATGAGACCTGGGACGACTGTCTTAGACTGAACAGTGTTAGGTGTAACAGTGATGACTATATGAGACCTGGGACGACTGTCTTAGACTGAACAGTGTTAGGTGTAACAGTGATGACTATATGAGAACTGGGACGACTGTCTTAGACTGAACAGTGTTAGGTGTAACAGTGATGACTATATGAGACCTGGGACGACTGTCTTAGACTGAACAGTGTTAGGTGTAACAGTGATGACTATATGAGACCTGGGACGACTGTCTTAGACTGAACAGTGTTAGGTGTAACAGTGATGACTATATGAGACCTGGGACGACTGTCTTAGACTGAACAGTGTTAGGTGTAACAGTGATGACTATATGAGAACTGGGACGACTGTCTTAGACTGAACAGTGTTAGGTGTAACAGTGATGACTATATGAGACCTGGGACGACTGTCTTAGACTGAACAGTGTTAGGTGTAACAGTGATGACTATATGAGAACTGGGACGACTGTCTTAGACTGAACAGTGTTAGGTGTAACAGTGATGACTATATGAGACCTGGGACGACTGTCTTAGACTGAACAGTGTTAGGTGTAACAGTGATGACTATATGAGACCTGGGACGACTGTCTTAGACTGAACAGTGTTAGGTGTAACAGTGATGACTATATGAGACCTGGGACGACTGTCTTAGACTGAACAGTGTTAGGTGTAACAGTGATGACTATATGAGACCTGGGACAGTGTTACAGTGATCTATAGACTGAACAGTGTTGTTAGGTGTAACAGTGATGACTATATGAGACCTGGGACGACTGTCTTAGACTGAACAGTGTTAGGTGTAACAGTGATGACTATATGAGACCTGGGACGACTGTCTTAGACTGAACAGTGTTAGGTGTAACAGTGATGACTATATGAGACCTGGGACGACTGTCTTAGACTGAACAGTGTTAGGTGTAACAGTGATGACTATATGAGAACTGGGACGACTGTCTTAGACTGAACAGTGGTAGGTGTAACAGTGATGACTATATGGGAACTCGGACGACTGTCTTAGACTGAACAGTGTTAGATGTAACAGTGATGACTATATGAGAACTGGGACGACTGTCTTAGACTGAACAGTGTTAGGTGTAACAGTGATGACTATATGAGAACTGGGACGACTGTCTTAGACTGAACAGTGTTAGGTATAACAGTGATGACTATATGAGACCTGGGACGGCTGTCTTAGACTGAACAGTGTTAGGTGTAACAGTGATGACTATATGAGAACTGGGACGACTGTCTAGGTCCTTAGACTGAACAGTGTTAGGTGAAGTTACAGTAAACCTATGGTCAGTTTGAATATGTGCGTAGTTTTAAAATGTGATTATTTCAATAAAAATGATAATTTCCTGTCTAGTTATAGTTTGAACCTGTTCTTGTTTGTTAACTCACCTGGCCCTTCAGGTGAGGTTATGCCATAACATGGCTTCCGTCGTCTGTCTGTCCTTTCGTCGTGCGTCTGTCCTACGTCCGTCAACTTTTCATTTAAACAACTTCTTTCAAAATACCAGAAGGCCTAGAATCTTTATATATGGCTGGAAGGTTCCTTTGATGAAGCCCAACAAAGTTTGCAAAAAGAAATGACCTAGACCCATATTCAAGGTCACAGAGGTCAAATGTGTTAAAACCTTTACACAACTTCTTCCAAAATACCGGAATGCCTAGAATCATTATATTTGATTGGAAGGTTCCATTGATGAAGCCGAACAAAGTTTATGAAAAAAAATAACCTTGACCCATATTTAAGGTCACAGAGGCCTGGAATTATTATATTTGGCTGGAAGGTTCCTTTGATTAAGCCTAACAAAGTTTGCAAAAAAAAAAATAATAACCTTGACCCATATTCAAGGTCACAGAGGTCAAATGTGTTAAAGACTTTAAGCAACTTCTTCCAACATACCGAAAGGCCTGGAATCATTATATATGGCTGAAAGGTTCCTTTCATGAAGCCCATTAAAGTTTGCGAAAAGAAATGACCTTGATCCATATTCAAGGTCTCAGAGGTCAAATGTGTTAAAAAAATTTTTTAAGCAACTTCTTTCAAAATACCAGAAGGCCTAGAATCATTATATCAGGCTACTATGTTCCTCTTTTGGTGTCCTACAAAGTTTTCTAAAAGAAATGGCCTTGTCCAATCTGCAAGGTCACAGGTGTCAAATGTGTTAAAATATTTAAACGACTTCTCCCCAAATACCGGAAGGTCTAGAATCATTATATTAGGCTACTATGTCCTACAAATAAAAGAAATGGCCTTGTCCAATCTGCAAGGTCACAGGTGTCAAATGTGTTAAAATATTTAAACAATTTCTTCTGAAATATCGAAAAGCCTAGAATCATTATATTTGACCAATATGTTCCTTTTATGAAGTCCAAGAAAGTAAAAGAAATGACCTTGACCCATAGTCAAGGTCACAGGGGTCAAATGTGTTAAACGTTGGTCATAAAGATCCAGGTGAGCGATACAGGCCCTTTGGGCCTCTTGTTTCACTTGCGTTTCAAATTGTTAAAAAATATTACAAGACTGCATGTATTACTATTGATAAAGACAATGGTGTTGCAATAATCTGTCCATGTGGTCACTATTCACATCCACATTAAACACTGTGAGTAGCAGGCTGTATATGACCATCAAAAGCAATTGATAGCGTCAGATTATACACATACATGTCTCGTAATTAGTATTGATGTGTAGTGTGATTTATTTCAGATCTTTCCGAAACATCACATAGGTACAACCGTTGCAATACTCTGTAATAAATGATAAAAAAAACTTTATTAATAGAAATTGTTTTTAGTTGAGAATTCAGTTATTAATCTCTTTAATCAGAATGACTAAATTGAAGTTGTTTGATGCGTCATTCTATGTGTGTTAATTACTTAAAGATGTTGAAACTGATTTACAGACAGCCCTGTTGAAGATCACCCTGTGTTTGAGTTAGGGCCCTCAACACCTGACGATATCTGTGTACCTGTATTTGAGGCAAGTTGTAGCGAGGTTGACGAATGGAAACAAATGACTTTAACTGGAGCCAATGTTCCATACAGTCCATCTGACCCTCGACTACGACAGACGAGTAGAGAGTCCTCATTTGTGAATTTGGGTTACACAGGTATTGTTAACATTTGTCAGTAACAAAATGTCATTATAAACATAACTGTAAAGATTGTTATTATTCTTCCCGAAAATTTTCAGGAGAGCATATGATGGCTGCTTTGTCAGTCCATCCGTCCGTATGTCACTCATTCTGCCCATCTGTCCTGTTGTGTCCAGTCATAATTTTACCCACAGTGAAAAAAGGATCATGAAACATGGTATATGGTCATAGTAGGCAATGTGTTGTGTATAAAATTCAGGACCCACAACTCCTTCATTACAGAGTTGTTGCCCTTTTTTTTATTGTCAAGTCCAGAGAATAATTTCAAATTGCTTGCATTTAAACTTGGATAATGAAATTTGGTGTATACCTGGATCATATTGAGATAATGTACATTATACAGAATTCTGGGCACTTGACCCCTGAATTACAGAATTATCTGCCCTTTGTTTTTTATGGTTCAGCAATGTCCTTTTCGGTAGCATCATCAGTTTCACTGATACTCTTTTGTTGTTTTAGTTTCATTGTTAAAATTTTCCCTATTTAAACACAAAATGGATTGTCTTAGCCTGTGAATTGAATGAAAGGTTTCTAATTGCCTTATAATCCTATTATTTTTATAGATAAAATGTTTGTTGTTTTATTTTTATTGTTAGAATTTTCTTGATTTAGCATTTGAAAGAGTTGAACAACAGGTTTCTATTTGTCCAATTTTATCTAAATTCCTTTGCTCAAAAGACATTTTCTCTAGCTGAAGTCATAGCAACAAACTTTTGTTAGAAATGTGTTTTGTTTAATGAATTCTTTATGTATCAACTTATAAACTTAAAGATGACACTAGTTACAAGTGTATGTCAGTCTGGAGAGAAACATCATGATACATTAAATCTTACTACTTACATGTATCTATATTTTAATCATTAGCTTGACCTTACTAATTTATCCATCTGTTCTCACAATGTGAAATAAAACTTGTTTTCCTTGTCCAATATTTTATGTGTTTTTATAAGCTTTATTTTTGTCAAAATATTTAAGATTTGAAAGAATTAGATTATTTTGAAAACTTTTTTCCTTTGAGATTTCATACTGTATCAGATGAATGAGATATGGTATAATAAAAACACATATTTGTACCTAAACAGATAATTTACTTCTTTATTTATAGGTGAATGGAAGCGTAAAAAAAAAAATCTTTCTCCGTCTTCCTCTCGGTTTGAGAACTCGGAGCCAGTAAGGAACCTCAGTGGCCAACTGAGTCAACATGTGAGTCATGTGTGTGTTTTTGTGTTGATAAACTGAGTCAACATGTGAGTCATATGTGTGTTTTTGTGTTGATAAACTGAGTCAGCATGTGAGTCATGTGTGTTTTTGTGTTGATAAACTGAGTCAACATGTGTCATGTGTGTTTTTGTGTTGATAAACTGAGTCAACATGTGTCATGTGTGTTTTTGTGTTGATAAACTGAGTCAACATGTGTCGTGTGTTTTTGTGTTGATAAACTGAGTCAACATGTGTCATGTGTGTTTTTGTGTTGATAAACTGAGTCAACATGTGTCATGTGTGTTTTTGTGTTGATAAACTGAGTCAACATGTGTCATGTGTGTTTTTGTGTTGATAAACTGAGTCAACATGTGAGTCATATCTGTGTTTTTGTGTTGATAAACTGAGTCAACATGTGAGTCATGTGTGTTTTTGTGTTGATAAACTGAGTCATCATGTGAGTCATGTGTGTTTTTGTGTTGATAAAGTTTAGGGTGTTTGTCAACTGCTCATCTTGAACCCCAATTGTTTTTATTAAGTATGTTAATATCAAATGAAAGAGTGTTGGTTGGCACACGGATGCCAATTTAACCACTATGCCTTGACAGATTGGTTTTCTTTCCTGATGGGAATTGTAGGGTCACCTACTTGACAGTGTAGCTTTTTCCTAACTCCAGTGGTCTTGTTATAACTGTGGTCCTGGAAACAGATATAAAACGATTTAATTTCAATCAAACTTAAAAAAGAACTAATTTATATTTTCTATCATTGTTATGCCCTCATCATTCAGTATCCTTTTACTCTTGTCCATTCTTCCTCTCACATCACGACGTCCCAATCCAAAATTGTATCAGAACCTGAGAATCTGTCAATAGATTTGGTTGATATTTACCCCACAGTGTCATAACATCAAGTTCTACACCTGATCAGGTTCTATTTTGTATTGGAGAGCTAGCATTCATTTCTGACAGACATTTTCTAGTTTTAAGACGTGTTTCTTCTTACCAGAGGCTATCGGTTCCTGGTGTGAAGTTTGGTGGTGACCTGGATTATCTCCATAGAAGACGTAACAGTGAAGGTCATGTGCCAAGGTCACGACTCAGTAGTATGGATTCATTGTCATCAGGTATAAACCGTAATTGTGAAATTACTTTCTGTTCTTGTATCAACATTGACACGGCCATTATTGTATTCTTGTCATACAGTGACATAGTGACTTCTGTTTCACATTAGGTCTCCTAGAAATGGACGTCATTTTATGAAAGGCTGATTTCCAGAGCACGTCTTTTTACATTAAGTGGTAAAAATGTATTATTCCATAAAAAACAATTTTGCTGTGTTTTCTTTTATAATCAAGTCATAAATTTATTTCTGGTTTTGAAGAAAGAACTTTTGTTTTATATGTCCACACACCAACCTGAAGAAAATTTCCTCAAAATAACTGTAAAACTTGTGTTCAGACCAGGAAACACGAGTGTCCAGTTCTGACCAGGTCCTGTTAATGCCGTCCTTGTTGGATCTCTCCTGTAATGCACTGACATCTCTCCACTCTCTGGTGACTGTGGGTCCAGACGTGGCTGTCAGCTTTAGTGGTCTCATCAAGTTGTTTGTAAATGACAACAAGATCACAAGTCTGCCAGACAAGCTGTTTGAGGTACATTGTTTAGATACATTTTTGTGATATTTCCATGTCATTACAATGGAAGATTGGAATAATTGTAGCAATTAATTTGTTTCAGTACTTGCCCAAACTGGAAGTACTAGATGTTGGAAGTAACTGCCTGACAGTTTTTCCCTCTCAGGCTCTGAAATGTCCATCGCTGAGTGTCCTTGACCTTTCACACAACAAAGTAAGTATCCTACGCTATCAAGTTATGACCTTGCAAGTTCAACATTGTACAAAAGTCACATAAGGTAGAGCTTCAGATCAAATTACGGGAATATTACACACTTTCCAAGGTCATGATGAAAGAACAGTTTCAACCTTTCAGAAATTCAACTGTAGAAGGATTACCACCAAAGAAATAATGAAGTCATGCAAAGGTCACAACCTACCAAGGTCACATCCTACTTAACCTTATATAGATCACACTCTAGCTACACTTAGGTCACACCTTACTAAAATCATACCCTACAATGATCACACCCTCCAAAGGTCTCGCCCTACCAAGGTCACATCCTACTTAACTTTATATAGATCACGCTCTAGCTACCATGGTTACACTACACTTAGGTCACACCTTACTAAAATCATACCCTACAATGATCACACCCTCCAAAGGTCACAACCTACCAAGGTCACATCCTACTTAACTTTATATAGATCACACTCTAGCTACCATGGTTACACTACACTTAGGTCACACCTTACTAAAATCATACCCTACAATGATCACACCCTCCAAAGGTCTCACCCTACCAAGGTCATTCCCAAACTAGATCACACCCTACCAAGATCACACCCTACAAAGGTCACATTCTACTTAACCTTATATAGTTCACACTCTAGCTACCATGGTCACACTGAACTCCTTAACAAAGTCACACTTTACGAAGGTCACTCCCACCAATGGTATCACCCTACCAAGGTCACACATATAGATGCTATATCTTATAAATTCAAACATTAAAACGCCAGGTTACATATATCTTAATTATTTCTTGTCAAGGTCATGTCACAAAAAACAATGTACAAGGTTCAAGGTCACTGACCTTTAGCTTACTATAATATGACAATGACATACTGAATTACAATGTACAAGTTTGCTTAATATACACTCTGCAACTTTTAATGATAATAGATTTTACAATGAATTGTTATATGATAGTCTTGTTATTTATAAACTCGTGTAACTGTAATTTGTTTGTTACAGATAGAGACAGTGAGTGGACTACAACGGAACACCATCCTAAAGGAGCTAAATATATCACATAACAACCTGTGTGAAATATCTCCTACCCTCACAGCTCACCTACAGGGATTGGAAATCCTACTGTTGTCAAGGTAAGCTCACCTACAGAGACTGGAAATCTTACTGTTGTCAAGGTAAGCTCTCCTACAGGGACTGGAAATCTTACTGTTGTCAAGGTAAGCTCTCCTACGGGGACTGGAAATCTTACTGTTGTCAAGGTAAGCTCACCTACAGAGACTGGAAATCCTACTGTTGTCAAGGTAAGCTCACCTACAGAGACTGGAAATCTTACTGTTGTCAAGGTAAGCTCTCCTACGGGGACTGGAAATCTTACTGTTGTCAAGGTAAGCTCAGCTGCAGAGACTGGAAATCTTACTGTTGTCAAGGTAAGCTCACCTACAGAGACTGGAAATCTTACTGTTGTCAAGGTAAGCTCTCCTACGGGGACTGGAAATCTTACTGTTGTCAAGGTAAGCTCACCTACAGAGACTGGAAATCCTACTGTTGTCAAGGTAAGCTCAGCTACAAGGGTCAAGGTAAACTCACCTACAGGGACTGGAAATCTTACTGTTGTCAAGGTAAGCTCACCTACAGAGACTGGAAATCTTACTGTTGTCAAGGTAAGCTCACCTACAGAGACTGGAAATCCTACTGTTGTCAAGGTAATCTTTTACTGTTGGTAAACTTTTTATTCGGTCACAAAATTGTTCTTGGAATTTCTTAATTAGCAATAACTTTATCAAGACATATGCTATGATAAAGATAACTGAAATAAGTTACAACCTTCAATTGTCATCATCACTTAGATCAATGATGAAGAGGAAGTTGATATTTAAGGTCAAATTTAAATTTGACAGAAAGTCAAGGTTAAACAATTAGCTTTGATGTTGTGTTAATTAATTACACAACTAATAATTTCTACAAGAGGGAATATGGAACTATTTCTGTTTTTAATGTAAAGGTTAAATTAGAAATAACAGAATTATATCTCTCTGTTTAGTAACAACATCAGTAAGCTACCAGACAGGCCACTCAAGATGGCAATGCTTCAGACCCTCAACCTGTCTGACAACCATATCACCTTCATCCCAGAACAGTTCCTTTGTGGCTGTCATCGCCTGGAGACCCTAGAACTCTCTAACAATGGACTAGGTATGACAAATAGTGACATGATTATAGCTGTGCCTTACTGTACCCCTCTGTTACAAAGTTTTGGTTAGGCTGGTAATGGATAGATGTATCAGATCTGTCTGTTTGTCTGTATACAGAACATTACTAGTGTATCAAGTCTGTCTGTTTGTCTGTATACAGAACATTACTACAGTGTATCAAGTCTGTCTGTTTGTCTGTATACAGAACATTACTAGTGTATCAAGTCTGTCTGTTTGTCTGTATACAGAACATTACTACAGTGTATCAAGTCTGTCTGTTTGTCTGTATACAGAACATTACTAGTGTATCAAGTCTGTCTGTTTGTCTGTATACAGAACATTCCTACTGTGTATGAAATCTGTCTGTTTGTCTGTATACAGAACATTCCTATAGTGTATCAGGTCTGTCTGTTTGTCTGTATATAGAACATTCCTACTGTGTATGAAATCTGTCTGTTTGTCTGTATACAGAACATTCCTATAGTGTATCAAATCTGTCTGTTTGTCTGTATACAGAACATTCCTACAGTTTATTAGGTCTGTCTGTTTGTCTGTATTCAGAACATTCTAACAATGTATCAAATCTGTCTGTTTGTCTGTATACAGAACATTCCTACGGTGTATCAAATCTGTCTGTTTGTCTGTATACAGAACATTCCTACAGTGTATTAGGTCTGTCTGTTTGTCTGTATACAGAACATTCCTACAGTGTATCAAGTCTGTCTGTTTGTCTGTATACAGAACATTCCTACAGTGTATCAAGTCTGTCTGTTTGTCTGTATACAGAACATTCCTACAGAGTATCAAGTCTGTCTGTTTGTCTGTATACAGAACATTCCTACAGTGTATCAAGTCTGTCTGTTTGTCTGTATACAGAATATTCCTACAGTGTATCAAGTCTTGTCTGTTTGTCTGTATACAACATTCCTACAGTGTATCATGTCTGTCTGTTTGTCTGTATACAAAATATTCCTACAGTTTATCAAGTCTATCTGTTTGCCTGTATACAGAACATTCCTACAGTGTATCAAGTCTGTCTGTTTGTCTGTATACAAAACATTCCTACAGTGTATTAGGTCTGTCTGTTTGTCTGTATACAGAACATTCCTACAGAGTATCCAGTCTGTCTGTTTGTCTGTATACAGAACATTCCTATAGTGTATTAGGTCTGTCTGTTTGTCTGTATTCAGAACATTCCTACAGTGTATAATGTCTGTCTGTTTGTCTGTATACATAACATTCCTACAGAGTATCCAGTCTGTCTGTTTGTCTGTATACAGAACATTCCTACAGTGTATCAGGTCTGTTTGTATACAGAACATTCCTACAGTGTATCAAGTCTGTCTGTTTGTCTCTATACAGAACATTTCTACAGTGTATCATGTCTGTCTGTTTGTCTGTATACAGAACATTCCCACAGTGTATCAGGTCTGTCTGTTTGTCTGTATACAGAACATTCCTACAGTGTATCAAGTCTGTCTGTTTGTCTGTATATAGAACATTCTTACAGTGTATCATGTCTGTCTGTTTGTCTGTATACAGAACATTCCTACAGTGTATCATGTCTGTCTGTTTGTCTGTATACAGAACATTCCTACGGTGTATCATGTCTGTCTGTTTGTCTGTATACAGAACATTCCTACGGTGTATCAAGTCTGTCTGTTTGTCTGTATACAGAACATTCCTACGGTGTATCATGTCTGTCTGTTTGTCTGTATACAGAACATTCCTACGGTGTATCATGTCTGTCTGTTTGTCTGTATACAGAACATTCCTACGGTGTATAATGTCTGTCTGTTTGTCTGTATACAGAACATTCCTATGGTGTATCATGTCTGTCTGTTTGTCTGTATACAGAACATTCCTACAGTGTATCATGTCTGTCTGTTTGTCTGTATACAGAACATTCCTACAGTGTATCAGACACTGAAATTCTGCGTCTGGACTTCGGTATTTGATAATTTTTCTTGCTTATTTCTAAAAAAAAAAAACTATTTGATAAATCTTGTCAATTCTTGTTACCAATGATATGTGAACACTTGACATTGTTATAAGTCCTTAAGACTTAACTTCAAAATGGTTCATATTGGTTTTATATCCATATTGTCACTAAACTTTCTTGTTAATGTAATAACGTCTTGATGTAGATATATTATAAAACTAGTGTAATATAGTGGTACAGTCACTTGATATTGTACAAACCTTTAAATGCTAAACTTTCAATATGTGTATTTATTTGTTTATTTTACTTCTGTGTAGGGCAACTGCCCTCTGAAAACATGGTAACAGAACTACCCAGACTAGCTAAACTAAAGCTAGCGAGGAACATGTTATTAGAAAAGGAGCCGTTTTACTTACCCAAATTAATTCTGGAACTCCCAAGGTCAGTTATAGTCTGTGAAGGTCATTTGCTGATTTTTTTTGTAAGGTCACATGAAAGAAAGATAGACGATTGATGATGTGGAATTTTTTTCTCATGATGTAATCACAGTAATAGAGATATTATGATCCAGATTTTATTGATAAATATTCTTTATCATATACACTAATGGATTTTCCTTTGTTACAATTTTTTTTTTTTATTGAAATAATATCCGAAATTCATTTGCTGCGAATAAAGACAGAAATAACAGACAACGAAATGTTATGGTATGCCGTCTGATACATTTTCGTTGCAGCAGGAATGTAATGATGAAATAACTAATGCTAATATATATGAGAAAGAAAGTCAGTTTAAGTTAATGGTTTATTACAATTTGTCAACCTGAGAGACATAAGTTTGGTAAAATTGCCTCATTATCATAAACCGAGGTTGTAAAGGTTTGGTTGAAAAGCCTTGTTTTCTTTACAGTTTACGATCAGTAGACCTGAGTAGTAATGGTTTGGTCGGCATCCCCGCACCTCTACACTGGAAGTCTACCATGCTGAAGGAAATTCTGTTGTGTGGTAACAGTATCAGTAAGGTAGGGAGAAAGTCTGGCTTTTGTGTGGTAATGTTAACAATATATACAATATCTACAAGGCCCATGCCTGATAATAAGCCCACCCATATATCTATCTTCATTACATAATTGTATATTGTGTACTGCAGACGTTTCATCTCTGTACACGTCCATCCCACACATGGAAGGCATTAGGGCAGCCAAGTTAGCTTTAGATATTAGAGGTTCACAAGCCATACTGAGTATGTGGATTATTCTATGAATGATCGTGCTCATATTAATGAACAATTGTTTTAGGTTCAACAATGACCATTATTTACAAAAACTTGGCACCGCCATGGGCACTAAAATGGCCCCAAATTATGCCATTATCTTTGTTGATTATACACAAATTTCTATCTACACAAATCAAAACACCACTAGTACACTGGAGATATATTTTCTTCATACGGACACATTCAAGAGAGGAACTCACCTCCTTTAGTGAATCCATGAACTCTTTTCACCCCTCCATAAAGTTTACCTTAGATATCGGAGATAACGAGGTCAACTTCCTAGACACGACCGTCAATGTAAAACAGAATGGAAGCTGTAAGATATACAATAAACCTACTAACGCTTTCCTATACCTACACTATCGGAGCTGCCATCCCAACTACTCTAAAAACAGTATACCCTATTCACAAGCATTACGCATCAAGAAAATTTGAAGTGACCCTGTACACTTTGAGCAGGCGTGCCGAAACCTCATTGAAAGATTCACAAAAAGAGGATACCCACATTACCTGATAATGGCACTATAGAAAAAGCTGGCATTAAGCCCAGGGAGGAACTACTTAACCCAAGTGATAAATGTGAGAACAGGAAGGTAATTCATTTTCATTATCCTGTACAACCGGTTGACACCAAAAAATTCTAGGACAAGGCCCTAAAACTAGGGGTCTACTAGAATTTAAAATGATTGTATGAAAGACATACTTGTATATAGTGACATAAGCTGCGACCCTGAACAGTCGGGAAGTGGCCTGTGTACTAAGAACTGTAAGATATATATACACATGGAACCAACTAACACCTTTGTAAGTCACAGCAATCGTAGGGAATGTAAGGTACATGGACATATCACATGTCAGAGTGTATGTGCCGTGTACCTAATCAATCTGAGAAAGCAGCCAAACGCGGAGAATCCTGTGTATCAAATGTGGGAGAACTTACTCAACACTTAGGAACCTACGCAGACATGCAGGTACAGCGTATGGTCTCATAAAAATCTGGTACAGATGCAAGATCTGCAAACGAACAAATGGAAGAAAGGAGACATACAATCATCACCTAAAAAGAGAACATCTGGGATATAGCATGGAATCAGAACGGTTTGTCCAAAATCAATACAGTAAAACCTGATGACAAATGGCCGTTTGAAGCGTTAATGAAAAAACGATTGGACCTGGTAAAATTCAGAATAAAACCAGGAAGTACGGTTGGTCCTCTGACAGTTCAGACCAGTCCTGGACGAGGCCTTGGAACTACTTAAGGAGGACTTAGCACTGTCGGACACGGACAGTTCAGACCAGTCCTGGACGAGGCCTTGGAACTACTTAAGGAGGACTTAGCACTGTCGGACACGGACAGTTCAGACCAGTCCTGGACGAGGCCTTGGAACTACTTAAGGAGGACTTAGCATTGTCGGACACGGACAGTTCAGACCAGTCCTGGACGAGGCCTTGGAACTACTTAAGGAGGACTTAGCACTGTCGGACACGGACAGTTCAGACCAGTCCTGGACGAGGCCATGGAACTACTTAAGGAGGACTTAGCACTGTCGGACACGGACAGTTCAGACCAGTCCTGGACGAGGCCTTGGAACTACTTAAGGAGGACTTAGCACTGTCGGACACGGACAGTTCAGGACGAGGCCATGTCCTGGAACTACTTAAGGAGGACTTAGCACTGTCGGACACGGACAGTTCAGACCAGTCCTGGACGAGGCCATGGAACTACTTAAGGAGGACTTAGCACTGTCGGACATGGACAATTCAGACCAGTCCTGGACGAGGCCTTGGAACTACTTAAGGAGGACTTAGCACTGTCGGACACGGACAGTTCAGACCAGTCCTGGACGAGGCCATGGAACTACTTAAGGAGGACTTAGCACTGTCGGACACGGACAGTTCAGACCAGTCCTGGACGAGGCCTTGGAACTACTTAAGGAGGACTTAGCATTGTCGGACACGGACAGTTCAGACCAGTCCTGGACGAGGCCATGGAACTACTTAAGGAGGACTTAGCACTGTCGGACATGGACAATTCAGACCAGTCCTGAACGAGGCCATGGAACTACTTAAGGAGGACTTAGCACGGTTGATGTGTACGTCATAATGTAACGTGCCCACATTTTTGGTACTTTAGGGGAAAATTTCATACATTTGTCGTCCTGATGAAGCCCTCATAGTTTGGGTGAAACCAGTCGACAAGATTTATAAACCTACTACCAGAGTATCCTGAGCTTATTGTGGTTGATACTTGCATTGTTATCTTCATTACAGTTACAAACTATATTGCCCCCTGGTCTTATTTCTACACTATCAGTTTATCTTCATCTTTTGTTTGCAATTCTTAATCAGTTTAAAAGACACTACTATTATATTCCTATATAAATTGATTAAGGATTGTGAACAAAAGATGACAAGTTGAGATACCTGTAATAACATATATTTTCTGTGGGAAACTGATTTAGACAGCTGTTACTGTATAATTAAGAAATTTTGAAAATCAGTTTTACCTTTTGAGAGTAATGATCAAAATTTGTTTACAGTTGAATTTGGATGGTGCGAAAGCTTGGTCCAAACTGGAGGCTTTGAACGTATCCAACAACAATATAAGTGAGGTAAGAGTTTGTGTATACAGAACTTTCACGACCTTTAATTCATTAGCTCACCTGGTCTGAAGGACCAAGGTAACTTAAAGCCCATACTGTGGTGTCTGTTGTCATCAGTAATTTCTTAAAAGGACTTCTGCTTCTACTCAACCAGTGAATAAATTTTGCTCTAATTTGATCGGAAGTTCTTCCAGGTGGTTGAAATTCAAAATGATATTTTCAAAATTTTGATTTAAATCAAGGATCCTTAGAGAGGCAGGACTCATGAATGTTCTAAAAGAAGAATGAAGTGTTTCTCCTCATCGCTTAGCTGTGACTTTGATCTTTTATTTCAGCTACCTAAGGAGATTGGTCAGTTGACATCTCTGACCTCACTGGACATTAGTTACAATAAGTCCTTGACTTCGCTTCCAGATGAACTTGGCAGGTGCTCAAAGATGTGGGAGGTATATATATATTTGTTTTAACAGTATATATTAAAATCTCTTTCGATGGTACATTTTCTGTAAGTGTGCTGATATTGTGTATATACAGGTTCCCTGTGTTTTCTGGTACAAATCTAACTCAGTGGTTTGTTTGTATACTATCCAGCTAACAGTGTATAGAGAGAATATTACATCATCTGTTTTTTTTGTTGACCAATGTCGTTGAAGGGAATCAGTTTCTCTGTAAAGAGAATATTACATCATCTGTTTTTTTTGTTGACCAATGTCGTTGAAGGGAATCAGTTTCTCTGTAAAGAGAATATTACATCATCTGTTATTTTTGTTGACAGATGCCATTGAAGGGAATCGGTTTTTCCCTCGACAGGATCCACCGTGGAAAAGTTAAGGATCTCATCGCATTCCTTCACAACAAACTTAAAAGGGTGAGAATTATTTATACAAGATTTACAGATATGCCAGTTTGATAAGAGATAAGACTCTGTTAGGCTGTTTTAACTTAGAATGGCCATTTTATTGTGATACACCTGATCATGAATAAATCCAATGCTATGGAATTTCTGCTAAAATTTACAATTGACATCACATAGTAGGAATGTTTGGAACAGTTTTTTCACATAGTATTACACTGCATGGTAAATAGATTAAGGATTTCACTTATTGGGGATGAAGCAAATATTTTTCTTATGTTGAATATTTTTTCTCAGTCAGTACCTGGGCATATGGTATAGTTATATGAAATTGCTGGTAGTGGGGTATGGAAAATGTAACAAATCTGCATTATTTATCAGAATATTTTTCTCTGTAGGCCACGAGGTACTATCGTATGAAATTGATGGTGGTGGGGTATGGTGGACGAGGAAAATCTACACTGTTGCAAGCCTTAATGAAACAGTACCGGAGCCAACAACATGACACGCCCACTGATGGGGTCATTGTTCAGGACTGGAAGTAGGTCAAAAATCTTTTCGTTGTTATATATGAATTTATTCTGGTCATAATATTTGTTGTAATTGTTAACTATGTTGTACAGATCTTACTAAGGCTTTGTCTGTAGAAGAAATGCCAAGAAATGATAATTCCATCTGGTAAAAAGCCCACCCCTTACCAAGTAAAAAGTTACATGTAAGACACCTGGCCTGGTAATAATAGGTGATGGTATGAGATGATCAAATCTACCTACACTACAGTGCTTTTGGATCCAATCCCTTCTACAGATTTCTGCAAAAAAAAAGGATAAAGAAAACCAGATAATTTTCTTCACTGTAGATTTGAAAGACAGAAAACTTTTGAGGATTTCCATGGTAATGTTACATACACAATCAACACATGGGACTTTGCTGGACAGGAGGACTTCTATAGTACGCATCAGTGCTACCTCACAGACAGAGCTGTTTATCTGGTAAATAAATATTGTTTATCTGTTAACTAGTCTATTTATGTAGTAAATAAAGATTATTGATCTGTTAACTAGGCTGTTTATCTGGTAAATAAAGGTTATTTATCTGTTAACTAGGCTGTTTATCTGGTAAATAAAGGTTATTGATCTGTTAACTAGGCTGGTTATCTGGTAAATAAAGGTTATCTATCTGTTAACTTGGCTGTTTATCTGGTAAATAAAGGTTATTTATCTGTTAACTAGGCTGTTTATCTGGTAGATAAAGGTTATTGATCTGTTAACTAGGCTGTTTATCTGGTAAATAAAGGTTATCTATCTGTTAACTTGGCTGTTTATCTGGTAAATAAAGGTTATTTATCTGTTAACTAGGCTGTTTATCTGGTAGATAAAGGTTATTGATCTGTTAACTAGGCTGTTTATCTGGTAAATAAAGGTTATCTATCTGTTAACTAGGCAGTTTATCTGGTAAATAAAGGTTATTGATCTGTTAACTAGGCAGTTTATCTGGTAAATAAAGGTTACTTATCTGTTAACTTGGCTGTTTATCTGGTAAATAAAGGTTATCTATCTGTTAACTAGGCAGTTTATCTGGTAAATAAAGGTTATTGATCTGTTAACTAGGCAGTTTATCTGGTAAATAAAGGTTACTTATCTGTTAACTTGGCTGTTTATCTGGTAAATAAAGGTTATCTATCTGTTAACTAGGCAGTTTATCTGGTAAATAAAGGTTATTGATCTGTTAACTAGGCTGTTTATCTGGTAAATAAAGGTTACTTATCTGTTAACTAGGCTGGATATCTGATAATAAGGTTTTATTTCTGATACTAAGGCTGTATCTCTGATAATAAGGTTACTTATTAGAAAAATATGTTAAAACAGCTTTTTACAGCACAACAGTGACAAAGTGTTGTCACCTCATTGAATATGTTTTTGTTTATAAGACACGTTTTCAGGTGCAAATTACAAGGAATTAGCAATTTTTGTCGAAGTTTATATAAAATTAAGTTCAGATTTCGGTCTAGAGCTTCTCGAAATAGCTTTGTTCACTTTCACACCATTTCCTCTTGAATGATGCTAAGGACGGTTATTGACTGCCTATGTGTAAGGACTGAAGGAAAATCTTCCTATAGGTGGTGATGGACTTAGAACGTGGCATCGGTGAGATCAACCTGCTCAGATCGTGGCTGGCTAACATCCATGCCAGAGCACCAGGGTGTCCTGTGATTGTAGTCGGTACTCACTCTGACTGTTTACCCGACGCCAAACGACATCTCCTCCAGAATCAAATCAGGACCAGGCTTCGTGATCTTGTATTCAAACTTGGTAAGTTACGTTTCTTGGTATGTATCTATGTAGTCCTGATTTTGTATGTTTAAAGAAGAACATAACACAGTATGATATTCAGTAATCAAAGAAATGTTGTTCTCCCTTTACTCTTGGAACTGTTCTTTTTACCAAGTCTATGTGACATAGAGATTGTAGTCCTAGTCTTGATAATATAAATGATTTTTTCAGATTTTTCTATACTTTGTAGTGTGGGTTGGGGAGTAGGGGCATATATTATTAATCACGTCTGCCCCTCTGATCCTGAATGTGGGTCTTTTCTTGAAAAATGATAATTTTGTTTTGTTTATACATGGAGGTGAGGATATTCATGTCTCTCAGACAATTTCTACTTTATTCAATAAATAATTGTGTAGAAATGAAATAGCAGCATGACAAATGAATTAGAAGGAAATCTTATAGGATAATACTTATCATGTGTATAACCAGGGTTAGAAAAATCCACTCGTCCGCTCGTCTAGACGAGTCGAAGCTACTTGTAGGCGAGTGATTTGTTTCAGCTACTTGTCCGGTGGGCGAGTGAAATTTGTAGTTCTGACTATTGAATACTTAAGATGTGTGTAACACATATGTCTGTAGGCTTTGCTGACATCCAGGACTTTTTCACTATCAACTGCAAAAAAGAGTCTCCTGAGATGGAGAGACTTCGAGAATTCATCAAGGAGAAAATTGACAGGTACAGTGAATAAAGTAATATTTAAAAGTAAGATTACTGGTCATCTGTAGGCTGAATATAAATGATGGTGAGTTGAGGAATAACTCAAAAATAATATATACATGTTTAACATCATACAGGGGAGATAAATATTGTGTTGTTGACACGCTCTACCATCAAGGGGAGATAAATATTGTGTTAAAGACACTCTTTACCATCAAGGGGAGAAAACTATATATATATATATTCTGAGCTGTCTCTACCTTAGAAAATCAAGGGGAGATAACTAACTGTTCTGAGTTGTCTATATTTTAAAAAATCAGGGGGAGATAACCGTCTATTCTGTGTATCCTATATTGCTCGGCATTGTAAGGAGATAGATGCCATCAATGAGAAATAACGGTGTTGTATACTTATACTGCAAGGGCAGATAACTCTGTAACAGATCTGTGTTATACTGCAAGAAGTAGATAACTCTGTATCAGATCTGTGTTATACTGCAAGGGTAGATAACTCTATATCAGATCTGTTGATTACTGCAAGGGTAGATAACTCTGTATCAGATCTGTGATATACTGCAAGGGTAGATAACTCTGTATCAGATCTGTTGATTACTGCAAGGGTAGATAACTCTGTATCAGATCTGTGTTATACTGCAAGGGTAGATAACTCTGTATCAGATATGTGTTATTGTCTATCCAATAAATGAGGGACAAATAACTATAAATTCATTCTGTTTACAGTTACAAGGTGAAGGGTCAGCCAGTGATGGGACAGAAGGTTCCAGCTGATTATGTGGTGAGTTGATCAAGATCTAGCTCTTATTGAGGCACCAAATCATTTGTTAGTATCATAAATTGGACCAAACTGAATCATAAATACCCCATAACTGTATAACCCCATACCTGTATAACCCAGTACCTGTATAACCCCATACCTGTATAACCCAGTACCTGTATAACCCAGTACCTGTATACCCCCAGTACCTGTATAACCCAGTACCTGTATACCCCCAGTACCTGTATAACCCAGTACCTGTATAACCCCAGTACCTGTATAACCCAGTACCTGTATACCCCCATACCTTAATAACCCAGTACCTGTATAACCCAGTACCTGTATAACCCCATACCTGTATAACCCCATACCTGTATAACCCTATATCTTAATACTCCAGTACCTGTATAACCCCAGTACCTGTATAACCCCATTACCTGTATAACCCCAGTACCTGTATAACCCCAGTATCTGTATAACCCCAGTACCTGTATAACCCAGTACCTGTATTACCCAGTAACTGTATAACCCCAGTACCTGTATAACCCAGTACCTGTATTACCCAGTAACTGTATAACCCCAGTACCTGTATAACCCAGTACCTGTATAACCCTATATAACCCCAGTACCCATATAACACAGTACCTGTATAACCTTAAATAACCCCAGTACCTGTATAACCCAGTAACTTTATAACCCAGTACCTGTATAACCCCAGTACCTGTATAACCCCGGTACCTGTATAACTCCAGTACCTGTATAACCCAGTACCTGTATAACCCCAGTACCTGTATAACCCCAGTACCTGTATAACCCAGTACCTGTATAACCCAGTAACTTTATAACACAGTACCTGTATAACCCCAGTACCTGTATAACCCCCGTACCTGTATAACCCCAGTACTTGTATAACCCCAGTACCTGTATAACCCAGTACCTGTATAACCCAGTACCTGTATAACCCTAAATAACCCCAGTACCTGTATAACCCAGTAACTTTATAACCCAGTACCTGTATAACCCCAGTACTTGTATAACCCCAGTACCTGTATAACTCCAGTACCTGTATAACCCCAGTACCTGTATAACCCCAGTACCTGTATAACCCAGTACCTGTATAACCCAGTAACTTTATAACACAGTACCTGTATAACCCCAGTACCTGTATAATCCCCGTACCTGTATAACCCCAGTACTTGTATAACCCCCGTACCTGTATAACCCAGTACCTGTATAACCCCCGTACCTGTATAACCCAGTACTTGTATAACCCCAGTACCTGTATAACCCAGTAACTTTATAACACAGTACCTGTATAACCCCAGTACCTGTATAACCCCCGTACCTGTATAACCCCAGTACCTGTATACCCCCAATACCTGTATAACCCCAGTACCTGTATAACTCCAGTACCTGTATACCCCCAATACCTGTATAACCCCAGTACCTATATAACCCAGTACCTGTATAACCCATTACCTGTATAACCCAATACATGTATAATTCAGTACCTGTATAGCCCAGTACCTTTATAACCCAGTACCTGTATAACCCCAGTTCTTGTATAACCCCATTACCAGTACCTGTATAACCCGGTACCTGTATAACCCCCGTACCTGTATAACCCAGTACCTGTGTAACCCAATACCTGTATAACACAGTACCTGTATAACCCTGTACCTGTATAACCCCTGTACCTTTATAGTACCTGTATAACCCAGTACCTGTATAACCCAGTACCTGTATAACCCCAGTACCTGTATAACCCAGTACCTGTATAACCCAGTACCTGTTTAACCGCAGTACCTGTATAGCCCACGTACCTGTATAACCCCAGTACCTGTATAACCCTATATAACCCCAGTACCAGTATTACCCTAGTTCCTGTATAACCCAGTACCTGTATGACCCCAGTACCTGTATAACCCTATATAACCCCAGTACCTGTATAACCCCAGTACCTGTATTATCCAGTACCTGTATAACCCCAGTACCTCTATAACCCTATAAAACCCCCGTACCTGTATAACCCAGTACCTGTATACCCCCAGTACCTGTATAACCCAATACCTGTATAACCCAGTACCTGTATAACCCCAGTACCTGTATAACCCTATATAAACCCAGTACCTGTATAACCCCAGTACCTGTATAACCCCAGTACCTGTATAACCCAGTACCTGTATGACCCCAGTACCTGTATAACCCTATATAACCCCAGTACCTGTATAACCCCAGTACCTGTATAACCCCAGTACCTGTATAACCCAAGTACCTGTATAACCCAAGTACCTGTATAACCCCAGTACCTGTATAACCCAGTACCTGTATAACCCCAGTACCTGTATAACCCAAGTACCTGTATAACCCAGTACCTGTATAACCCCAGTACCTGTATAACCCTATATAACCCCAGTACCTGTATAACCCCAGTACCTGTATAACCCAAGTACCTGTATAACCCAGTACCTGTATAAACCCAGTACCTGTATAACCCCAGTACCTGTATAACCCCAGTACCTGTATAACCCAGTACCTGTATGACCCCAGTACCTGTATAACCCTATATAACCCCAGTACCTGTATAACCAAAGTACCTGTATAACCCAAGTACCTGTATTACCCAGTACCTGTATAACCCCAGTACCTGTATAACCCAGTACCTGTATAACCCTATATAACCCCAGTACCTGTTTAACCCTATATAACCCCAGTACCTGTATAACCCCAGTACCTGTATTACCCAGTACCTGTATAACCCCAGTACCTGTATAACCCTATATAACCCCAGTACCTGTTTAACCCCAGTACCTGTATAACCCAGTACCTGTATAACCCCAGTACCTGTATAACCCCAGTACCTGTATAACCCAGTACCTGTATTACCCAGTACCTGTATAACCCCAGTACCTGTATAACCCAGTACTTGTATAACCCTATATAACCCTAGTACCTGTATAACCCAGTACCTGTATAACCCTATATAACCCCAGTACCTGTATAACCCCAGTACCTGTATAACCCAAGTACCTGTATAACCCAGTACCTGTATAACCCCAGTACCTGTATAACCCTATATAACCCAAGTACCTGTATTACCCAGTACCTGTATAACCCCAGTACCTGTATGACCCAGTACCTGTATAACCCTATATAACCCCAGTACCTGTTTAACCCTAGTACCTGTATAACCCCAGTACCAGTATAACCCAGTACCTGTATTACCCAGTACCTGTATAACCCCAGTACCTGTATAACCCAGTACCTGTATAACCCTATATAACCCCAGTACCTGTTTAACCCCAGTACCTGTATAACCCAATACCTGTATAACCCCAGTACCTGTATAATCCAGTTTCTGTATTACCCAGTACCTGTATAACCCCAGTACCTGTATAACCCAGTACCTGTATAACCCTATATAACCCCAGTACCTGTATAACCCAGTACCTGTATAACCCTATATAACCCCAGTACCTGTATAACCCTATATAACCCCAGTACCTGTTTAACCCCAGTACCTGTATAACCCCAGTACCTGTTTAACCCCAGTACCTGTATAACCCCAGTAACTGTATAACCCCAGTACCTGTTTAACCCCAGTACCTGTATAACCCCCGTACCTGTATAACCCTATATAACCCCAGTACCTGTATAACCCAGTACCTGTATAACCCAGTACCTGTATAACCCCAGTACCTGTTTAACCCCACTACCTGTATAACCCCAGTACCTGTTTAACCCTAGTACCTGTATAACCCCAGTACCTGTATAACCCCAGTACCTGTATTACCCAGTACCTGTATTACCCAGTACCTGTATAACCCCAGTACCTGTATAACCCTATATAACCCCAGTACCTGTTTAACCCCAGTACCTGTATAACCCAGTACCTGTATAACCCCAGTACCTGTATAACCCCAGTACCTGTATAACCCAGTACCTGTATTACCCATTACCTGTATAACCCCAGTACCTGTATAACCCAGTACCTGTATAACCCTATATAACCCTAGTACCTGTATAACCCAGTACCTGTATAACCCTATATAACCCCAGTACCTGTATAACCCCAGTACCTGTATAACCCAAGTACCTGTATAACCCAAGTACCTGTATTACCCAGTACCTGTATAACCCCAGTACCTGTATAACCCCAGTACCTGTATAACCCAGTACCTGTATAACCCAGTACCTGTATAACCCCAGTACCTGTATAACCCTATATAACCCAAGTACCTGTATAACCCAGTACCTGTATAACCCCAGTACCTGTATAACCCAAGTACCTGTATAACCCAGTACCTGTATAACCCCAGTACCTGTATAACCCTATATAACCCAAGTACCTGTATTACCCAGTACCTGTATGTATAACCCCAGTACCTGTATGACCCAGTACCTGTATAACCCTATATAACCCCAGTACCTGTTTAACCCTAGTACCTGTATAACCCCAGTACCTGTATAACCCAGTACCTGTATTACCCAGTACCTGTATAACCCCAGTACCTGTATAACCCAGTACCTGTATAACCCTATATAACCCCAGTACCTGTTTAACCCCAGTACCTGTATAACCCAATACCTGTATAACCCCAGTACCTGTATAACCCCAGTACCTGTATAATCCAGTACCTGTATTACCCAGTACCTGTATAACCCCAGTACCTGTATAACCCAGTACCTGTATAACCCTATATAACCCCAGTACCTGTATAACCCAGTACCTGTATAACCCTATATAACCCCAGTACCTGTATAACCCTATATAACCCCAGTACCTGTTTAACCCCAGTACCTGTATAACCCCAGTACCTGTTTAACCCCAGTACCTGTATAACCCCAGTAACTGTATAACCCCAGTACCTGTTTAACCCCAGTAATAACCCCCGTACCTGTATAACCCTATATAACCCCAGTACCTGTATAACCCAGTACCTGTATAACCCAGTACCTGTATAACCCAAGTACCTGTATAACCCCAGTACCTGTATAACCCCAGTACCTGTATAACCCCAGTACCTGTATAACCCCAGTACCTGTATAACCCCAGTACCTGTATAACCCCCGTACCTGTATAACCCCAGTACCTGTATAACCCCAGTACCTGTATAACCCCAGTACCTGTATAACCCTATATAACCCCAGTACCTGTATAACCCAGTACCTGTATAACCCAAGTACCTGTATAACCCCAGTACCTGTATAACCCCCGTACCTGTATAACCCCAGTACCTGTATACCCCCAGTACCTGTATAACCCAGTGCCTATATAACCCCAGTACCTGTATAACCCAAGTACCTGTATTACCCAGTACCTGTATAACCCAGTACCTGTATAACCCAGTACCTGTATAACCCAGTACCTGTATAACCCTATATAACCCCAGTACCTGTATAACCCCAGTACCTGTATAACCCCCGTACCTGTATAACCCAGTACCTGTATAACCCTATATAACCCCAGTACCTGTTTAACCCTAGTACCTGTATAACCCCAGTACCTGTATAACCCCAGTGCCTGTATTACCCAGTACCTGTATAACCCCAGTACCTGTATAACCCAGTACCTGTATAACCCTATATAACCCCAGTACCTGTATAACCCCAGTACCTGTATAACCCCCGTACCTGTATAACCCCAGTACTTGTATAACCCCAGTACCTGTATAACCCCAGTACCTGTATAACCGAGTACCTGTATAACCCCAGTACCTGTATAACCCCAGTACCTGTATAACCCAGTACCTGTATAACTCCAGTACCTGTTTAAACCCAGTACCTGTATAACCCCAGTACCTGTATAACCCCAGTACCTGTATAACCCCAGTACCTGTATAACCCTAGTAAGAAAATCCGTTAAATTCAATCTGAATTAACGATTTTCCTAGTGATTTTTGTTATTTTTGATGATATAAATAAATATTGATGTAAGATATTATAAGTTTTACCTGTTTCGATTGTCATTCCTACATAGATATGATACCCCAGTATTGATTTCATGATCATGAGAAACCTTTGTTTTATCAGAAACTGGCTGAAGTTCTGGAGGAAGAGGTTCGTGCTAAACAGAAAACCTACCCGGTCATCACACACACCCAGCTTCTTAAGGTGGTTGAGAACCACAAGCTTGATCTTGAGGATGAAGAGTTGAAGCAGGCGGTGCGGTTTCTACACCGCAGTGGTGTGTTGCTGCACTACGAGGATGCAGCACTGAAGCTGAAGGATTTATACTTTATAGACCCGGGCTGGCTGTGTCGCATGATGGCTCAGGTTACGGTATCTCAGATCAACCAACAAGTCAGAAATGGGGTTGGTATCACATTTACTGATAACTCATTCACTTGGTGTCACTACATAACATTGTCAGTGTTAATGTGAAAACAGGACCGTCTCCCACACAGTTCGAAACATGGATTAAAAAACTTTGAAAAACCAAAGTGGGCTTATTGAAGGACATCACATAAGCCTAGAGAACAGCAAAACATATAGATTAGCTTATTATAAGAAAGTGACTCGTTTTCAGAAAAATATGACACTACATACATTTTAAAATCAAATATTATACATTGAAATATTGTGTGCTCTTAAATTTAGTTAATGATTTAACTTGCAAATGTGAAAGTGACAGTTTTAAGATTAAATATGTATTATATTTGGTTTAGTTCTCAAATTTACTTGAATTTTTTTATTTCTCGAAACATGAATTTTTGACTTGCTGTTTTCAGATTCTACGTAAACAAGATATGAAAGCATTGTTAACAGGAAAGAATGTTGAGGAAGAGCAGAGGCCTTCCTTTCCTATCGAACTTTTTCCTCAGTACATCAGGCTCCTGGAGAAGTAAGTGTGTAAACAGTAGCTGTGTCAAGGTCACAAAAGATACTGAGTCAAGGTCACAATAGATACCAAGTCAAGGTCACGATAGATACCAAGTCAAGGTCACAATAGATACCAAGTCAAGGTCACAATAGATACTAAGTCAAGGTCACAATAGATATCAAGTCAAGGTCACAATAGATACCTAGTCAAGGTCATGATAAATGGCAAGTCAAGGTCACAATAGATACCTAGTCAAGGTTACAATAGATACCTAGTCAAGGTCACAATAGATACCTAGTCAAGGTTACAATAGATACCTAGTCAAGATACCAAGTCAAGGTCACAATAGATACCTAGTCAAGGTCACGATAGATGCCAAGTCAAGGTCACAATAGATACCTAGTCAAGGTTACAATAGATACCTAGTCAAGGTCACAATGGTTACCTAGTCAAAGTCATGATAGATACCAAGTCAAGGTCACGATAGATGCCAAGTCAAGGTCAAAATAGATACCAAGTCAAGGTCACGATAGATACTAAGTCAAGGTCACAATAGATACCTAGTCAAGGTCACAATAGATACCTAGTCAAGGTCACAATAAATACAGTGTCCAGGTCACAATAGATGCCAAGTCAAGGTCACAATAGATGCAGAGTCAAGGTCACAATAGATACAGAGTTGAGGTCACCATTTGTTGTCTAGTCAAGGCATAAATGATGGCCCCAGTACATCAGACTTGTATAGTACTTCTGACAAGGTCACAGTCAGTTTTGAGTCAAGATCACAACAGATGTTGAAACAAGGTCTCTGTTGGTTGATAAGTCAAGGTCAGACTTCTGGGGAAATGTTTAAACAGTAATGTGTCAATACTTAGTCAAGATCACAACAGATGTTGAAACAAGGTCTCTGTTGGTTGATAAGTCAAGGTCAGACTTCTGGGGAAATGTTTAAACAGTAGTGTGTCAATGTCAATACTTAGTCAAGGTCACAACAGATGTTGAAACAAGGTCTCTGTTGGTTGATAAGTCAAGGTCAGACTTCTGGGGAAATGTTTAAACAGTAGTGTGTCAATACTTAGTCAAGGTCACAACAGATGTTGAAACAAGGTCTCTGTTGGTTGATAAGTCAAGGTCAGACTTCTGGGGAAATGTTTAAACAGTAGTGTGTCAATACTTAGTCAAGGTCACAACAGATGTTGAAACAAGGTCACTGTTGGTTGTTAAGTTAAGGTCAGACTTCTGGAGGAGTGCTTCAACAGTAGTGTGTCAAGGTCAATACTTAATCAAGGTCACTGGTGGTTTTCAAGTCAATGTCAAATAATTGACCATATTTTCAAAACCACAAAAGTCTAATATTCTTTGTGATATTAGTGTTTATTCGATCAAAGCCAAAGGTGTGTATTGAAACATTTTCTTAAATGGCTATTAGCTTTTTGTCCTAGAACTGACTACCAGGGTCAAAGTCATGATAGTATTTAATGAATCAAATTAATATTTCATTATTGATTTATAGGTCAAGGTTATGAGTTATAATTAGGTCAGGGAAAAAAATAAAGGCAATGTGATCAGGAGCAGAAAGATTTAATGGTTTTATATTTACATCAATATCATTGAGTCTCTCTAATGCTAGGGAGTCAACTGCCTAACCACATGAATTTTCCCCTGGTACTTTGGTTTCCTGCTACTGTAAGACCCCTTGTGGGCTTCCATCTTAGCCAACAAGAGTGATTGATATAAGCTTTAAGCTTGTTTGGAATTTGTTGTAAGATAAATCAAATTGATATAAATGATATACTAGATATATTTTAATTTCTGTATCCAATACTTATGTTTTAAACGCCAAAACAAACCTTTAATTCTATCAATGGCACAACCAAAAGGTGTAAAACACAGATTTATATAAAAATATGGAGACTTTGATATTGCAAGGCATATTTTGTGTTATTTAGACTGCATTTTATGTTGAAAAATAATGTCACCTCATATGAAGTGTCTTTTAAATTTGCATGGTTGACCGAGTTCATACCAATATATCTGTGTGTAAGAATTCGAATTTGTGGAGGAGACGGTCTGATTCCAATTTGTGGAGGAGACGGTCTGTTTCCAATTTGTGGAGGAGACGGTCTGATTCCAATTTGTGGAGGAGACGGTCTGATTCCAATTTGTGGAGGAGACGGTCTGATTCCAATTTGTGGAGTAGACACACTGATGATGTTTCTAGCAATGTGTGCATTGTTTCAGGTTTGAAATTGCACTGCAATACTCTGAGGAAGAAGTGTTCATTCCATTCTATCTGCCTGTAGAACAACCTGATCTTCACATACCACAGCTGAAAATTAATGGTACCTTGTCCTAATCCGTTTTAGAATTTTAGCACATAATTGAAGTCTTAATATTTTATTGTCTTTTTGACAAATTAAGAACACATTAAAGATAATAATATATCACTGCATCATAAATCTATTTATATTCTTTATATTTTATTTACTTTTGATATTTTGTACTTGTAATGAACTTTGACATTGTGATATTGACCTTTGATCTTTGACCCTGCAGAAAAGATCAGTCGTCACTATACAATGCCACTTGTGCCACTGGGTCTGTGGTCACGCCTCATCACTCGTCTGGTCGCATTCTCCAACAGTGCCCTTACTCTGGTAAGTGTTCTGAAAAGGGGAGGTAATTTATGGTTAAAAAGGAAGACAACTTTATTTTTTATTTAAATGGAGACAACTTAATTTTTTTCAAAAATTGAGACAATTCTATTTTTAAGAGAGGAGACAACCATAGATCTGGAAGGAAGACAATCTTAGGTCACACTTCAACAATGCCAGAATCCAAATATCTATTTTATTCATGAACAGATGTCACATGTCAAATAATTTTCTTGAGGAATTGATTGTCACCAGTTCTCAGATGATCTTAACTGCTGTATGTTATTATGTGATATTAAGCACATGGTAGATTCAAAACTTTGAAATTAGAAATTAGATTTTACATAATGTAAGCAATGATCCAGCAGTCCTATATTGTCAGGCTTTGGTGGAGGAGAAGAAACCCCCAACAATGAAGTACTGGCAGAAGGGTATATTTGGCTACTGGTCCAATGTAAGTATGATAGATACTACTCTAAACCCACTTTCTGTTGTGGCCACTGATGTTCATGGTTTCAGTAAAATAACAAATTCAAGCCCTTTCCTTTAATGATTTCTGTGTTACCATTTTGTCTTTAATTACACCCCATAGGGAGCCCCTATCTGGTTGCTGATTCGCCCACGACATGTAAGCTTACTGTAGGGCATTTGAGACAAACAGGTCAGTGGTGACCAGCTCGTAGACCGGAACAACTCTTGACACTAAAGTAACAGCATATTGTACAATGTCCGAAGGAATAAGTCCACGTAGTTGACTTTCATACTCAATAAATGTCTGTGTTTATGTTTGGGTAGTGATGTAAAGGTCAACAGTATTTTTGAAATTTGTATAAAGGTGTCATAGAATTCAAACATGTTACAGATCTAAACCAGAACGTTTCATTTTAAACAAACTCGTCAGAATCATTCATTGGAGGAAATGAATTATCCTCAACCCTGGATTAAACATTAGTTTTACGAAACTTGTTACAGCTGTGTATGTAGATTCATGAAAACCTGCATTAAAGATAAACAGACTTTTTTTATAAAGGAAAACTAGTTAAATACGAAAATCATTGTCTGTCTTAACTCACTACAATCAATGTTCGCAATCTTGCTTCAAATGTTAAATTTGTAAATTAAGTAAATCATTTATTAAAAAAAAGAAATTAGTTTGCAGGAACTACCTGTGTAAGTTGAACATAGACTAACTCCTGTTTTGTTAAGATTAATAATACAGTACTGTACTATATATATCATTTAAACACTGTTGTTTTACTATAATCATCATATTTAAACACTGTTGTTTTACTATAATCATCATGTTTAAACACTGTTGTTTTACTATAATCATCATGTTTAAACACTGTTGTTTTACTATAATCATCATGTTTAAACACTGTTGTTTTACTATAATCATCATGTTTAAACACTGTTGTTTTACTATAATCATCATGTTTAAACACTTGTTTTACTATAATCATCATGTTTAAACACTGTTGTTTTTCTATAATCATCATGTTTAAACACTGTTGTTTTACTCTAATCATCATGTTTAAACACTGTTGTTTTACTATAATCATCATGTTTAAACACTGTTGTTTTACTATAATCATCATGTTTAAACACTGTTGTTTTACTATAATCATCACATTTAAACACTGTTGTTGTACTATATATATCATAATCATCATGTTTAAACACTGTTGTTTTACTATAATCATCATGTTTAAACACTGTTGTTTTACTATAATCATCATGTTTAAACACTGTTGTTTTACTATAATCATCACATTTAAACACTGTTGTTGTACTATATAATCATCACATTTAAACACTGTTGTTTTACTATAATCATCATGTTTAAACACTGTTGTTTTACTATAATCATCATGTTTAAACACTGTTGTTTTACTATAATCATCATGTTTAAACACTGTTGTTTTACTATAATCATCACATTTAAACACTGTTGTTGTACTATATATATCATAATCATCATGTTTAAACACTGTTGTTTTACTATAATCATCATGTTTAAACACTGTTGTTTTACTATAATCACCATGTTTAAACACTGTTGTTTTACTATAATCATCATGTTTAAACACTGTTGTTTTACTATAATCATCATGTTTAAACACTGTTGTTTTACTATAATCATCATGTTTAAACACTGTTGTTTTACTATAATCACCATGTTTAAACACTGTTGTTTTACTATAATCATCATGTTTAAACACTGTTGTTTTACTATAATCATCATGTTTAAACACTTGTTTTACTATAATCATCATGTTTAAACACTGTTGTTTTACTATAATCATCATGTTTAAACACTGTTGTTTTACTATAATCATCATGTTTAAACACTGTTGTTTTACTATAATCATCATGTTTAAACACTGTTGTTTTACTATAATCATCATGTTTAAACACTGTTGTTTTACTCTAATCATCATGTTTAAACACTGTTGTTTTACTATAATCATCATGTTTAAACACTGTTGTTTTACTATAATCATCATGTTTAAACACTGTTGTTTTGTCTGTTATCAGGATGCTTTCTTTCTGTTGGATTATTACTTCCTAGAGGACGAGGAGATACACCTGATGGTGCCCAACACCTCAAAGGGATCCACGTAAGTCTGTTACAATGAATCCGATTGGTCAATAATATAAACTTTATTTATTTTACAACAATTGAGAAACAAGTTATGTCAACTTATACTAATCACTCTTGTTGACCCAGATGTAAGTGCGCGAGGGGTGTTATTGTGGGAGGAAACTGGAGTACCCGGGGAAAACCCACGTGGTCGGACCACTGCTGTTTGATAGTGATTGGTCAACATGCTGTGCTTCAATGTTACAGTGCATGTGATTGGACAATATGAAGGGTATCAAAATATGAATGTAACAGAGCTTTTGGATTGTCAAAATAGTCAGCATCAATAAAACACTTCTGGTGATTGGTCAGAGCAACCATTATTGAAATAATGGTGGATATGATTGGTCATTGAACAGTTACTAATGTCGGAATAAGTTTTTGATAAAAAAAAATGACCTGAATCACATAGTTTTATTTTGTTTATGATCCAGGTTGTTTGGGCTCCTAGTAGACCATGTATGTGCTCTGGTGGAGGAATGGTATCCTGGTCTGACCAGTCTGGATCCAGTCCAGGGGAGAGAACTCCTGGTACAACATGTACCCTGCACTGGATGTACAAGTAAAGATTGTTTAATTTTGGCTTGATACAGGAGACTAAAATAGGATTCAGCAGTTTACAGTTTATTGAACTGCATTACATATATGGGTGGGCTTATTATCAGGCATGGACTTATTACCGGATACATCTGATAAAGTATGTAGAATTTAAACTTTGTGCTATGTAAATAAATAGACATAGTATACTTACTTATGTAACTGTGTACGAATATTGTGCATTTGAGTAAATAAATAGGATATGATCTTTTTGCAATTTTTTCAATTTTTTAAAATTCACCCTCATGCCCATAGTTTTGACAACGTTTTGGTGTAATTATCAAGAATAGAGGATGATTTGTTTGCTTTGCTTATCACCCCCTTAACAGCCATGGTGATTTTAAGGCTGATTCTCTGTTTAGTAGCTGGTGTCTACCACACTGAACAACATATGGGAGGTCCATCACATGCAAGCCAGAGCAATTAGGATAAAGTGTTTTCTCAAAGACACAACAGTATCTGCATTGACTGGTCTGTTTCCTAGATTTCTAATAAACTGCTATGGAAAGTGTCAGAACCAAGCAAAATGTGGGAAAAATACAAATATGTTTTAAACTTAATAACGATTGATTTTTCATTAGAAAGTAAAATTTTTTCTTTAAACTCAGATGTGGATGCTCAGAAACACTTTCTATTGGACGATCTACTAGACCAGACCAAAAATGGATTGGAGATCTTCTGTGATGTTCATATGGGTTATGTCCCTTTGTCCGAATTGGTATGTTGGTAAAGTTTCATTCTATGATGAAAGTGTCCTTGGCTATTGGGCTATTCCAGTAAAACATCTATCCACCCCAGGGCTCTAGGTTATGTTTAGGGCAATTCCAGTGAAACATTTATCCCTCCCCAGAACTCCAGGTTTTGTTTTGGGCTATTCCAGTAAAACATCTATCCACCCCAGGGCTCTAGGTTATGTTTAGGGCAATTCCAGTGAAACATTTATCCCACCCCAGCACTCCAGGTTTTGTTAAGGGCTACTCCAGTAAAACATCTATCCCACCCCAGGACTCCAGGTTTTGTTTAGGGCTATTCCAGTAAAACATCTATCCCACCCCAGGACTCCAGGTTATATTGAGACTGGACCACTCACAGAATTCAATAGATAATTTGTTTAGAAGTTACTTACGCAGGAAAATGAGCCATCCATAGATAGAAGTGGATTTTTTTTTGAGTCCTGGTGTCAAATATTTTTTCCCGGAGTAGCCTCCCCTGATACTAGACCAGTTTCATCAAGAAATTTCAAAGTGCCATGATCAGGATTTATTTTGAATTCAAAATATTAAGAAGAAAGCCTGATATTTATTCCGTTGGTCGTGTTATGAGGACCATTACTGACCTTACCTAGAGTCACGTCAGGCTCAAAAATAAATAAGCTTTATCTGGCAGGAAGATAATAAAATAAAAGATAAATTGAGTTTTATCATTTCAGGCACCAGACATCATTCTGAATGACTTAAAACCAGAGCTTCAGGTTGATCACTCAGTTTTTGAATTCTCTGAAAGGTGAAATATCTTGTTATAGCTACTTTTCAATATCATAAAGATACACTATTTGCTGATGACATTTTTCATGAAAGTGTGACTTCTACTAGTTATTGACTAAATATTGAACTGTGAGTTCGTTTTACTGGTCCAAGTAATTTCTTTTCCATTGTCTGAAAATTGTTCAAAGGGTTTCAGAAAATATCATCACATTATCAAGAATTTAGATCAAATTTTAAATTGGTGAAGCAAGAGCAAATCACAATTAAAGGAAAGAGTGACCAGTTTTATTGAAAAGAAGATTAAGACGAGTTGTGGTTGACAAGGCTAAAATCTTTGTCAGTCTTAATAATATTATGTTCTCAAAATGGAAACCTTTTTTTTAAACACATTCCTTGGTGTAACTGATTCAGTCCTTACGATCTGCTGGGAGACGGAGGATATGGAGCTGTTTACAGAGGAACCTACAAAGGCCAGGTAAGGAATATTATAGAAATATCTATGTTGAGTTATGACATCAAACCCAGTCTGACGTCTCGTGTAGACTTCCTCGCCCCGTCTGACGTCTCGTGTAGACTTCCTCGCCCAGTCTGATGTCTCGTGTAGACTTTCTCGCCCCGTCTGACGTCTCGTGTGGACTTCCTCGCCCCGTCTGACGTCTCGTGTAGACTTCCTCGCCCCATCTGATGTCTTGTGTAGACTTCCTCGCCCTGTCTGACTTTTCATGTAGACTTCCTGGCCCAGTCTGACGTCTCGTGTAGACTTCCTCGCTGAGGACATGTTTTAATCCTATACAGATCTACCTGAGGACACTATATTAACCTATACAGATCCACCTAGGATCACTTTTCAGGTTTGGTCTATTTAATCCTATACAGATCTAACCTAGGACACTACTCTATTTAATCCTATACAGATCTAACCTAGGACACTACTCTATTTAATCCTATACAGATCTAACCAAGGACACTACTCTATTTAATCCTATACACTATCTATTTAATCCTATACTGAAGGACACTACTCTATTTAATCCTATACAGATCTACCTCTTTTGAGGACACTACTCTATTTAATCCTATACAGATCTACCTGAGGACACTAATCCTATACAGATCTCTACCTGAGGACACTACTCTATTTAATCCTATACAGATTTAATCCTATACAGATCCCCTCGAGGACACTACTCTATTTAATCCTACACAGATCCACACGAGGACACTACTCTATTTAATCCTATACAGATCTAACCAAGGACACTACTCTATTTAATCCTATACAGATCTAACCAAGGACACTACTCTATTTAATCCTATACAGATCTACCCTAGGACACTACTCTATTTAATCCTATACAGATCTACCTGAGGACACTACTCTATTTAATCCTATACAGATCCACCCGAGGACACTACTCTATTTAATCCTATACAGATCTAACCAAGGACACTACTCTATTTAATCCTATACAGATCTACCCGAGGACACTACTCTATTTAATCCTATACAGATCTAACCAAGGACACTACTCTATTTAATCCTATACAGATTTACCTGAGGACACTACACTATTTAATCCTATACAGATCTACCTGAGGACACTACACTATTTACTCCTATACAGATCCACCTGAGGACACTACTCTATTTAATCCTATACAGATCTACCTGAGGACACTACTCTATTTAATCCTATACAGATCTACCTGAGGACACTACTCTATTTAATCCTATACAGATCTACCAGGACACTACTCTATTTAATCCTATACAGATCTACCAAGGACACTACTCTATTTAATCCTATACCTATACAGATCTACCTGAGGACACTACTCTATTTAATCCTATACAGATCTACCTGAGGACACTACTCTATTTAATCCTATACAGATCTACCTGAGGACACTACTCTATTTAATCCTATACAGATCCACCTGAGGACACTACTCTATTTAATCCTATACAGATCTAACCAAGGACACTACTCTATTTAATCCTATACAGATCTAACCAAGGACACTACTCTATTTAATCCTATACAGATCCAACCAAGGACACTACTCTATTTAATCCTATACAGATCTACCCGAGGACACAACTCTATTTAATCCTATACAGATCCAGCTGAGGACACTACTCTATTTAATCCTATACAGATCCACCTGAGGACACTACTCTATTTAATCCTATACAGATCTAACCAAGGACACTACTCTATTTAATCCTATACAGATCTACCTGAGGACACTACTCTATTTAATCCTATACAGATCTAACCAAGGACACTACTCTATTTAATCCTCTACAGATCTAACCAAGGACACTACACTATTTAATCCTATACCGATCTACCTGAGGACACTACACTATTTAATCTATTTAATCCTATACAGATCTAACCAAGGACACTACTCTACCTATACAGATCTAACCAAGGACACTACTCTATTTAATCCTATACAGATCTACCCAAGGACACTACTCTATTTAATCCTATACAGATCTAATCCTATTTAATCCTAGATCTACCTGAGGACACTACTCTATTTAATCCTATACAGATCTACCCACTAGGACACTACTCTATTTAATCCTATACAGATCTACCAAGGACACTACTCTATTTAATCCTATACTACTCTATTTAATCCTATACAGATCTAGGACACTACTCTATTTAATCCTATACAGATCTAACCAAGGACACTACTCTATTTAATCCTATACAGATCTAACCAAGGACACTACTCTATTTAATCCTATACAGATCTAACCAAGGACACTACTCTATTTAATCCTATACAGATCTACCCGAGGACACTACTCTATTTAATCCTATACAGATCTAACCAAGGACACTACTCTATTTAATCCTATACAGATCTAACCAAGGACACTACTCTATTTAATCCTATACAGATCTAACCAAGGACACTACTCTATTTAATCCTATACAGATCTACCTGAGGACACTACACTATTTAATCCTATACAGATCCACACAAGGACACTACTCTATTTAATCCTATACAGATCTACCCAAGGACACTACTCTATTTAATCCTATACAGATCCAACCAAGGACACTACTCTATTTAATCCTATACAGATCGGACACTACTCTATTTAATCCTATACAGATCCACACAAGGACACTACTCTATTTAATCCTATACAGATCTAACCAAGGACACTACACTATTTAATCCTATACAGATCTAACCAAGGACACTACTCTATTTAATCCTATACAGATCTAACCAAGGACACTACTCTATTTAATCCTATACAGATCTAACCAAGGACACTACTCTATTTAATCCTATACAGATCTAACCAAGGACACTACTCTATTTAATCCTATACAGATCTAACCAAGGACACTACTCTATTTAATCCTATACAGATCTAACCAAGGACACTACTCTATTTAATCCTATACAGATCTACCTGAGGACACTACACTATTTAATCCTATACAGATCCACCCGAGGACACTACTCTATTTAATCCTATACAGATCTACCCGAGGACACTACTCTATTTAATCCTATACAGATCTAACCAAGGACACTACTCTATTTAATCCTATACAGATCCACCTGAGGACACCACTCTATTTAATCCTATACAGATCTACACGAGGACACTACTCTATTTAATCCTATACAGATCCACCAGAGGACACTACTCTATTTAATCCTATAGGACACAACTCTATTTAATCCTATACAGATCTAACCAAGGACACTACTCTATTTAATCCTACACAGATCCACCCGAGGACACTACTCTATTTAATCCTACACAGATCTACCCGAGGACACTACTCTATTTAATCCTATACAGATCTACCCGAGGACACTACTCTATTTAATCCTATACAGATCTACCCGAGGACACTACTCTATTTAATCCTATACAGATCCAACCAAGGACACTACTCTATTTAATCCTATTTCTAATCCCTATACAGATCTACCAAGGACACTACTCTATTTAATCCTATACAGATCTACCCAAGGACACTACTCTATTTAATCCTATACAGATCTAACCAAGGACACTACTCTATTTAATCCTATACAGATCTACCTGAGGACACTACTCTATTTAATCCTACACAGACCCACCCGAGGACACTACTCTATTTAATCCTATACAGATCTAACCAAGGACACTACTCTATTTAATCCTATACAGATCTAACCAAGGACACTACTCTATTTAATCCTATACAGATCTACCTGAGGACACTACTCTATTTAATCCTATACAGATCTAAATCCTATACAGATCCACCTGAGGACACTACTCTATTTAATCCTATACAGATCTAACCAAGGACACTACTCTGTTTAATCCTATACAGATCCAACCAAGGACACTACTCTATTTAATCCTATACAGATCTAACCAAGGACACTACTCTCTTTAATCCTATACAGATCTAACCAAGGACACTACTCTATTTAATCCTATACAGATCTACCCAAGGACATTTAATCCTATACAGGACACTACTCTATTTAATCCTATACAGATCTACCCAGGACACTACTCTATTTAATCCTATACAGATCTACCTGAGGACACTACTCTATTTAATCCTATACAGATCTACCAAGGACACTACTATTTAATCCTATACAGATCTACTCTATTTAATCCTATACAGATCTAACCAAGGACACTACTCTATTTAATCCTATACAGATCCAACCAAGGACACTACTCTATTTAATCCTATACAGATCTAACCAAGGACACTACTCTATTTAATCCTATACAGATCCACCAGAGGACACTACTCTATTTAATCCTAGACAGATCCACCAGAGGACAATACTCTATTTAATACTAGACAGATCCACCCGAGGACACTACTCTATTTAATCCTTAAGATCCTAGGACACTACAGAATCCTATACTACACTACTCTATTTAATCCTATACAGATCTAACCAAGGACACTACTCTATTTAATCCTATACAGATCTACTACTCTATTTAATCCTATACAGATCTACCAAGGACACTACTCTATTTAATCCTATACAGATCTACCTGAGGACACTACTCTTTTTAATCCTATATAGATCCAACCAAGGACACTACTCTATTTAATCCTATACAGAGGACACTACTATTTAATCCTCTAATCTACCCAAGGACACTACTCTATTTAATCCTATACAGGACACTACTCTATTTAATCCTATACAGATCTAACCAAGGACACTACTCTATTTAATCCTATACAGATCTACCTGAGGACACTACACTATTTAATCCTATACAGATCTAACCAAGGACACTACTCTATTTAATCCTATACAGATCTACCCGAGGACACTACTCTATTTAATCCTATACAGATCCACCCTACTCTATTTACATCCTATACAGATCTACTATTTAATCCTATACAGATCTAACCAAGGACACTACTCTATTTAATCCTATACAGATCCAACCAAGGACACTACTCTATTTAATCCTATACAGATCTACCTGAGGACACTACTCTATTTAATCCTATACTGATCCACCTGAGGACACTACTCTATTTAATCATATCTAACCAAGGACACTACTCTATTTAATCCTATACAGATCTACCCAAGGACACTACTCTATTTAATCTTATACACTACTCTATTTAATCCTATACAGATCTAACCAAGGACACTACTCTATTTAATCCTATACAGATCTACCTGAGGACACTACACTATTTACTCCTATACAGATCCACCTGAGGACACTACACTATTTACTCCTATACAGATCCACCTGAGGACACTACTCTATTTAATCCTATACAGATCTAACCAAGGACACTACTCTATTTAATCCTATACAGATCTACCTGAGGACACTACACTATTTAATCCTATACAGATCCCCTCGAGGACACTGCTCTATTTAATCCTATACAGATATACCCGAGGACACTACTCTATTTAATCCTACACAGGACACTACTCTATCACAATTAATCCTATTTACATCCACACGAGGACACTACTCTATTTAATCCTATACAGATCTAGGAGGACACTACTCTATTTAATCCTATACAGATCTACCTGAGGACACTACACTATTTAATCCTATACAGATCCAATATCACAATGACAGGAGGTAGGTACCAATTACAGATATTTACATATCACAATGACAGGAGGTAGGTACCAATTACAGATATTTACATATCACAATGACAGGAGGTAGGTACCAATTACAGATATTTACATATCACAATGACAGGAGGTAGGTACCAATTACAGATATTTACATATCACAATGACAGGAGGTAGGTACCAATTACAGATATTTACATATCACAATGACAGGAGGTAGGTACCAATTACAGATATTTACATATCACAATGACAGGAGGTAGGTACCAATTACAGATATTTACATATCACAATGACAGGAGGTAGGTACCAATTACAGATATTTACATCACAAAATGACGCGAGGTCGTTTCCAACTATACCTTATTACTTCATATCACAATGACAGGAGGTAGGTACCAATTACAGATATTTACATATCACAATGACAGGAGGTAGGTATCTATTACAGATTTTTCCATGATATCACAATGACAGGAGGTAGGTACCAATTACAGATATTTACATATCACAATGACAGGAGGTAGGTACCAATTACAGATATTTACATATCACAATGACAGGAGGTAGGTACCAATTACAGATATTTACATGATATCACAATGACAGGAGGTAGGTACCAATTACAGATATTTACATATCACAATGACAGGAGGTAGGTACCAATTACAGATATTTACATATCACAATGACAGGAGGTAGGTACCAATCACAGATATTTACATGATATCACAATGACAGGAGGTAGGAACCAATTACAAATATTTACATATCACAATGACAGGAGGTAGGTACCAATTACAGATATTTACATATCACAACGACAGGAGGTAGGTACCAATTACAGATATTTACATATCACATATCACAATGACAGGAGGTAGGTACCAATTACAGATATTTACATATCACAATGACAGGAGGTAGGTACCAATTACAGATATTTACATATCACAACGACAGGAGGTAGGTACCAATTACAGATTTACATATCACAATGACAGGAGGTAGACCAATTACAGATATTTACATACCAATTACAGATATTTACATATCACAATGACAGGAGGTAGGTACCAATTACAGATATTTACATATCACAATGACAGGAGGTAGGTACCAATTACAGATATTTACATATCACAATGACAGGAGGTAGGTACCAATTACAGATATTTACATATCACAATGACAGGAGGTAGGAACCAATTACAAATATTTACATATCACAATGACAGGAGGTAGGTACCAATTACAGATATTTACATATCACAATGACAGGAGGTAGGTACCAATTACAGATATTTACATGATATCACAATGACAGGAGGTAGGTACCAATTACAGATATTTACATATCACAATGACAGGAGGTAGGTACCAATAACAGATATTTACATGATATTTCGTAATGTAAGTCAAGATGGCACCAAAATCTCTTTTCATTTTTGTCTTGTTATTTAAGAAATAATTTTCTTTTTGGTTGTTTACTGGTGTGTAAAATGAATTTTTTACAGATATTTTAAATATTGCACATTAGCGTGTCATGTTGAAATATCTGCTAAAAATGCAGTTTACACACCAGTTCTTTAATATATTTCTAAATAATATTTGTTCTTTGGATGTTATACGCGTTGACAGAACACCCAAATAACTGATGGAATAATAAAACATCTGATTCCTCTTTCTCTAGAAAGTTTGTCAACTACAAGAAGTAAACAGAAAATATTTCCATAACAATGTCCTGTTTTTCGTGAGGTATTTTAAATCCTTCCATTTCTATTTACATATTGCTCAATTTTCCCAAAAATTTTTGGATTTCAAACAAAAGTAATAAGTGATTTTTACACTGATTTATACCACAAGTGTACAGTGGTTCCGCTTCCTCGACTTTTACTGAAGGGTAATTAACAATGATTGTAAGGCCAAATAGAGGATTCAATCAAAAAATATAAATATCAAGATTGAACCTACACTCCTGTGAATGCCTGTGGTATAAAACTGATTTTTATTGTCTGTTCCAGGCAACTGTGCTGAGGTGTTTGAACCACCCAAGTATAGTCTCCCTATTAGGGGTCAGCTTTCAGCCACGTGTCATAGTCCTGGAGCTGGCACCCAAAGGATCACTGGGAAATGTTCTTAAGTCTGGACGTCCACTGGATCGCATCATGCAACATCGAATAGCTTTACAGGTTACCATTTCTAATGATGATGTTAAATCTGGGATGTTGTCGCTAAAAGTCTCAGAAAATTATAGTTTTATCAGAAAGTTATAGTTTTATCAGAAAATTAAAGTTTTAACCTCATGTTTGACAGCCACAGCAGGATTACGGTAATACAGCTTTGCATAGATGATGCACAAGTAGATTGCACCTTTTAAAACAAATTTGATAATTTGATGGAGTCAAGTAATGAAACATCATACAGCTGTTTCCTTGTTCTACAACTTGTCAGTGATGCTAAGGGCCTAAATTTTGAAACTTAGAAAGCGACTGAGGAAAATAAAAAATGATTGATAGAAATGTATTACCTCTAAAAGGTGTTTGTTGGAGCTTGCGAATTTTTGTGGGGTTGCTTAAAGCTTCTAGCTGATTGATGAATTTTTTTCAAGAGAGTTAAACGACCAAAGATTTAAAAACTTTCAGGTCTACTGAAAAATTCTAACACCTTTAAAAGATCAACAATAAATTTACAGTGAAGTTTGTAAATGTTTACTTATTACCTACATAACATTGATTACAAAACTATAAATTAAAACAAAACTTCTTGATTTAACCATGTCAGGTAGCCGAGGGCCTAGCCTATCTACACCACCTGATGGTTCTGTACAGAGACATGAAACCAGACAATGTTCTCATCTACAGTCTGGATCTCAACGCTCCTGTAAGTTCACTTCAAATTGTCCTAATTGTTGCCCAGCAGACCAGTAATAAAATGGGACAAGAGGGCCAATAGATTCTTGCACATCTATGATCAGGTGTTAAACAAGACATAGTGGTATGCAGTACAATGTTACATTTTGTTTTTTATTTGTAACATTTTCATCATGTCCTAACATTTAGTATAAGATTGTAGTACAACTGAAAAAGTCTGTTGATTCTGTACCGTCTTGCATACTCTACGTCAGTGGGAATAGACTTCACCCTGCCTAATGAAACAAAACTTCTTAGGATCGTATTGTAAGATTTTCTATTCTATAGATTGTCTGTAGTTATAGATCTGAAATATTTTGACGTTGTCCAGATAAATGCGAAGGTGTCCGATTATGGAATCGCACGATTTGCCACACTGGATGGACTGCTGGCCCAGGAAGGTACCCCTGCCTACAGAGCCCCAGAGGTCATCCGTGGAGAACCCTACTCCTTCACAGTGTGTATATAGAACTGGTGTATTTAACTCTCTTGCTGCTATTTGGTCAGTAACATGTGAGGTTTTAATGCTTTGTTAAATCTTATTTTCATCTCATTTGAAAGTGGATTTTTGAATGCATAAAAGAAAATGTGCAAATGCTTGTACAATATAGTGTACAGCACCAGTAAGTTAAAGTGTACAATATTAGAAAGTACAAGGTAACATACAGCCTTAACTATACACTTGTAAAGTGAAAATACAAGGTAGCAAACAGCCTTAACTGTAGACATGTAATGTGAATATACAAGGTAGCATACAGCCTTAACTGTACACTTGTAAAGTGGAAATACAAAGTAACATTCAGCCTTAACTGTACACTTGAGAAGTAAAAGTAGAGGGTAGCATACAGCCTTAACTGTTTTATTCCAGGCAGATGTGTTTTCCTATGGGATCACACTATATGGTCTCCTCACTAGTGGACGACATCCATTTGATGAATTTGAGTTCAAAAGTGAGATGGACAGAGCTATAGCTGAGGTATATACTGAGAACTGTACCCTTTGACACTGAAAAATGTACCCTTTGATCCTGAGAATTGTACCCTTTGACCCTGAGAACTGTACCCTATGAACTTGAGAACTGTACCCTATGACCCTGTGAACTGTACCCTATAACCCTGTGTGATAGGTGTATGTTTTGAAAAGTTTAAATTTAACCTGTTTTGCTGTTTATGTCATCAACATACCCACACACAGGAACTCATTTTGCTAACATCTCAGGGAAGAACTTCCCAAATGTACTATTCTCTTATCAAGCTATACTGACACATACCCGTCAGACTATGTGAAAAAATGTGATTCTACAAGATTTCTATTGTTTCTCGCAAATTAGCTTTCTACTGTAAATGTATATTGGAAATTACAGCTTTAGGACTTGTTCTCAGATGAATCAAATGTCCTGACAAATAATTACTTGTGACAAGTACAATTTGTTTCCCATCCACAGTCAATGCTACCAAATAGTGATTTTGGCCAATAATAAGTGTAATTTAATTTTGTTGTTAAGGGGGTAACCATGCCTGTCATTACACAGCGTGGGGCTAATGCTTGGCTAGACATGGAAAACCTACTGAACGGTTGTTTGAATAGCTCACCCGACAAAAGACTGGAGGTACAGCAGTGTCCTCACACTGGTGAAGTGTGTTGTATGTGAGATAGGAATTCTTTGTCATGTTCTTGCAGGGTTCATCGAATGCTTGATCTTTACTTAAGCAATTACTGCATGTATATTAAAGTTTGTCAAATCATCTTTTTGTGCGGGCACACTGAAAGCTTGATCTTTAGGGTTCTCTGACAACTTTTTTCTTTACATCTAGATTTACCGAAAGTTTAAAATTTATATCAAGGTTTACTGAAAGCTTGATATTTCCATCAGTGTTTTCTGAAATCTTGATGTTTATGTCAGAGTTTACTGAAAGCTTAATATTTCCATCATTGTTTTCTGAAATCTTGATGTTGATGTCAGAGTTTACTGAAAGCTTGATCCCTATGCCAATATGTGTTTTGTTGTAGTCCAAAGACATAGTGAGATGTCTTAAAAATCCTGATGTCCTCAGTGTCAGATGTTTTACTCCTGTGTCAAAATCAGCATCTCTTGAGTGCTTCACAGTTCAGGTGAGATGGTTACAAGCTAACATTACTTTAGAATTCCACTGCACACTTTACTTTCACTTTAATTCTGTGGTGTCAAAGTTGAAATCACTTAAATTCTTACCAGGTTAAGAGAGTTTCAAAATAAATCAGGGCCATTTGTAATCCAAGTGTTCCTCAGTATAAGTGAATAGCTTATATATGTAATCACACAAAAACTCAGCACTTAGGTCAGTATAACTTTCTATGTTATAGTCAGAATCACACAAATGCTTCAAATTACAGTCCATGTTAATCAAGTGTTTAACAGTGCTGAAGAACATTGACCATCAGTGATTAAAATCAATACCAGGGGGTAGAGGCCCCACATTCCACAATCGATGATGTTCGGTAAATTCTTACGGGAACTGTCATGGATACAAAAAGTCCTCACTAAAAAAGAATGTAGGTCGAGAGTGAAGACAACACAAACAGCTCCTTCCTAATTCACAATTTATGCATGCATCAAGTTGTTGGTCAGTAGAGTTGGACCCGAAACATGTCAACAACTTGATGCACAAATAAATTGTGAATTGGGAAAGGGTGTTGGTGTTGTCTTCACTCTCGACCTGCATCAGTGATAAAAGTTCGATCAAAGATGAATGATTTGTGGTTGATTTCTGTATTGATTTATTTACCATTGTACTCTGGACATGGTACCAGGAAAGTGATAAGCATTCCCCAGTCCTGTGGTTTACCAGTGGATCTACGGAGCACGTTGAACTATCCCATGTTAACCTGTTGGATCCAGCCCTCAAACAGCAGGTCGGTAAAGTCCTGTAGATCTGTATCTGTTATCTGTTCTGTAGATATGCCATACTATATATGGTTATTTTTATTCTCTGTTGACATTTCCAAAATGAAATACTTTTCTGGTTTACTTTATTCCTGAATCTCTTTACTTCTTTCTGATGATACAGTTTGTAGTTGTAAGGAATTGAAAAGTTTGAATGATGTTACAACTTCTATCTGTTTATCTAAACCAATGTTTTACTTGTATGGACATATTATTGAGATGAAAACTTAAACATGTCACCAAATTTAGGATGATTTTCAATTAGCTTTATTAGCCCACCATTATTCAAATCGCTCTGCATCCATGGTCTGTCATCTGTCTGTCTTCTGTCCATTCGTGAACAATTTTTGTTATCACTATTTCTTCAGAAGTAATGGACGGATCTTTCTCAAATTGCATATAGGTTCCCCTTGGTTCCCAGTTGTTCCTGTTAGATTTTGGGACTGAAAAAAAAACCAAAATGGCTGACAGGCAGCCATCTACAGTTTTTTCAATGAAATTTGTTATCGCTATTTCTTGAAAAGGAAGATATTGATCTCTCAAATTTCATATGTAGGTTCCTGTTGGCCTCTAGTTGTGCCTATGTAATTTTGCGACTGATCAGAAAAACAAAATGGCTGTAAGGCGACCATGGTGGATTTTGACTTTGAAAGTTTGTTATCTCTGTTTCTTAAGAAGTAGTTCATGGATATCGCTCAAATTCCATATGTATGTACCCTTTGGTCCTGGTGCTCATTTGATTTTGGGACTGATCAGAAGAAACAAAATGGCTTCCAGGCGGCCATTTTGTATTTGACATGTAAAGATTATCATCGCTATTTCTGCAAATGCATGTTCAAATGTCTTATCATTAAGAGCAAAAACTGAAAAAGAAGAGAAAAGAAGGGAAAAAATCAAATTTTCAAAGAGCAGATAACGATTAAACAATGGTGGGCGCCAAGCTCTTTGTTTCATTAATTCAGATTCTGCATAAAATTATATCTGGGTTATAATTTAAAATTCCTAAATTTGATATACCTTTGTCATTTGTCCTGAGATTCAGTAAGTTTACTATATATAGATTGAAGTAGATCCTTTCTGACAGTCCAGCTGTAGATTTTGTCAGATTTCTTATAATTTTTCACTTTGTTCCACAGGGTACTTACTTTCCACATGGACGTATCCTATGTCTGCATTCAATCTCAAACGGATTCCTGTTGGTGGGCAGTCAGCAATCTCAAATCTGGCTGTACGATACTTACTCATCTAAATTCCAACATTCTTCCAGTGTCCTTCCAGACCACGTCCTCTGTATAAAGCACTTGTCCGGGTAAGTTTGTTATCTAATTGTTGGTCATTATAATCAGTGTAATGGTGATGATCTTCGAAGAAAGACTTCAAAATATCCACCATTCATTTTAATGAATTTACAAATTAACGTTTTAAAAAAATGTCAGGATTCACTTCCATGAAACTGAATTTTGTTATTTTACGGTTTCACAGATGACGTGATTGTAGTTTTACGGATGATGAAATGATTATTTTGTCATTGTCTGGATGAATGCTGTTATTTTGTAGTTCCACAGATGATCTGATATTTGCTGGTCTTGCCAATGGGTTGCTTGCTGTGTTTCCTGTGTCAGATATCATAGCTGTATGTATATTGAAAAGTTGCCTTAGATTTAAAAATGTATACTTTTTTTTCTCTTCATGTTTTGAGGAGATTTTTAATGAATAACTGTGTGGTTATATCTTTAATATTTACCAACTTCTGGTTCTAACACTATATATCTATAATATTTCCTAACTCTTGGCTCTAACACTAGATAACTAATATTTCCTTACTTTTGGCTCTAACACTACATATCTGTAATATTTCCTAACTTTTGGCTCTAACACTATGTATCTGTAATATTTACCAACTTTTGGCTCGAACACTATATATCTGTAATATTTACCAACTTCTGGTTCTAACACTATGTATCTGTAATATTTACCAACTTTTGGCTCGAACACTATATATCTGTAATATTTACCAACTTCTGGTTCTAACACTCTGTAGCTGTAATATTTCCTAACTTCTGGCTCTAACACTATATATCTGTAATATTTACCAACTTCTGGTTCTAACACTCTGTAGCTGTAATATTTCCTAACTTCTGGCTCCAACACTCTGTAGCTGTAATATTTCCTAACTTCTGGTTCTAACACTATATATATGTAATATTTCCTAACTTCTGGCTCTAACACTATATATCTGTAATATTTCCTAACTTCTGGCTCTAACACTATATATCTGTAATATTTCCTAACTTCTGGTTCTAACACTATATATCTGTAATATTTCCTAACTTCTGGTTCTAACACTATATATCTGTAATATTGCTGAAATAGGGCCTGACATTCTCTATGTTATACTATTTTTGACTCCCTGTTGAGGAGGCCTGCTGAAATGCTATGCTGAAATAGGGCCTGACATTCTCTATGTTATACTATTTTTGACTCCCTGTTGAGGAGGCCTGCTGAAATGCTATGCTGAAATAGGGCCTGACATTCTCTATGTTATACTATTTTTGACTCCCTGTTGAGGAGGCCTGCTGAAATGCTATGCTGAAATAGGGCCTGACATGCTCTATGTTATACTATTTTTGACTCCCAGTTGAGGAGGCCTGCTGAAATGCTATGCTGAAATAGGGCCTGACATGCTCTATGTTATACTATTTTTGACTCCCTGTTGAGGAGGCCTGCTGAAATGCTATGCTGAAATAGGGCCTGACATGCTCTATGTTATACTATTTTTGACTCCCTGTTGAGGAGGCCTGCTGAAATGCTATGCTGAAATAGGGCCTGACATGCTCTATGTTATACTATTTTTGACTCCCTGTTGAGGAGGCCTGCTGAAATGCTATGCTGAAATAGGGCCTGACATGCTCTATGTTATACTATTTTTGACTCCCTGTTGAGGAGGCCTGCTGAAATGCTATGCTGAAGTAGGGCCTGACATTCTCTATGTTATACTATTTTTGACTCCCTGTTGAGGAGGCCTGCTGAAATGCTATGCTGAAATAGGGCCTGACATGCTCTATATTTTACTATATTTGACTCCCTGTTGAGGAGGCCTGCTGAAATGCTATGCTGAAATAGGGCCTGACATTCTCTATATTTTACTATTTTTGACTCCCTGTTGAGGAGGCCTGCTGAAATGCTATGCTGAAATAGGGCCTGACATGCTCTATGTTATACTATTTTTGACTCCCTGTTGAGGAGGCCTGCCTCTGTTGAATGTGTAGCCATTATGTGATTTGTCTCTCAGTTTTGTTGGACAGGAAAATCATAATTTGAATTTTCTTTTCGAATTAAATATGATATCTGTGATTTGTTTTAAGGAAAAAAACTTGGTTCCAATGTGCATGTGTCTTGGTGAATCAAGTGAACCAGTCCGTTGTATGGAAGTCCAAGCCCACAAACGTTTACTGTATGCCTCATGTGGCGCAAAGATTGCGGTTATTAGCACTCACAAAGGGATATCAGTACAGCTGACATATAACACCCTACCTCCAAGGTACCGTCTATACACGGAGTTACTTTTGAAATTTTGTTATTAGCCCAACATTATCAGATGGTGGGGTATTCAAATCACCCTGCGTCCGTGGTACGTGGTCCGTCTGTCCATCCGTCCGTCCGTAAACAATTCTTGTTACTGCTATTTCTGGGAAAGTACCGGATGGATCTTTCTCAAATTTCATATGCAGGTTCCCCTTGGTCCCTAGTTGTGCATTATAACATTTTTGGACTGATTCGAATTCAAGATGGCCGACGGTTGGCCATCTTTTATTTCGAAAGTAAAAGTTTGTTACAACTATTTCCGAGAAAGTATTGGATGGATCTTTCTCAAATTTCATATGCAGATTCCTTTGGTCCCTAGTTGTGCATTATACCTTTTTGGACTGATCCGAATTCAAGATGGCCACTTGTCGGCCATCTTTTATTTTGAAAGTAAAAGTTTGTTACCGCTATTTCTGAGAAAGTACTGGATGGATCTTTGTCAAATTTCATATGAAGCTTCCCCTTGGTCCTTAGTTGTGCAGTGTACCTTTTTTGGACCGATTCGAATTCAAGATAACCCAAAGACATCCATCTTGGATTTTGAAAGTAAAAGTTTGTTATCACTATTTCTGGGAAAATACTTGATGGATCTTTCTCAAATTTCATAAGCTGGTTCCCCTTGGTCCCTAATTGTGCATTTTACCTTTTTTGGACTGATCCGAAATCAATTTTGTGGATTTTGAGAGCAAAATCTTGTTACCGCTATTTCTGAGGAAGTACTGGATGGATCCTTCTGATATTTCATAGGTATTGGTTTCCCTTGGTCCCTAGTTATGCATTGTACCTTTTTTGGACCGATTTGAAATCAAGGTGGCCCACAGGCAGCCATCTTGGATGTCAACAGTAATACAGTAGTTTGTTATGGCTGTCACAGGATCCTTCTCAAATTTCATATTTAGCTTCCTCTTGGTACCTAGTTAAGCATTGTCCCATATTTAGCTTCCTCTTGGTACCTAGTTAAGCATTGTCCCATATTTAGAATGATTTGAAAAACAAAATGGCCTATAGCTCTCCATCTTGGATTTGAACAGCGAATAATTGTTTTATGGCTATTTCTTACCTACATGATCAGTCATTCTCAAGTTTCAGATTTTCTAAACTAAGTAAACATTGATAAATACACTGTTTAGGGTATGTATACTAAACCATGCAATGAATTGAGTTAATGGCATATGGGTTGACACATGAGAAGTAACAGAAGAATTGATTTATTAAAAATGTCAGTAATTCCTAATGTTTAAGTGTTGGTGTTACAAAAACATTAATGTAATAAAATAAAATATAAAATTTTCAATTTAAAAAAAAAAAAAAAAAGTTTTAAAAAACTTTGAACTTTTATTATACTTGTTGCGCTCTTGTGCATCATCAACATCATCATCATCATGCATCATCATTCATCATCATCATCATCCATCATCATCACCATCATCATCATCTCCATCATCATCATCATCATCATCATCTTCATCATCATCATCATCATCATCATCTCCATCATCACCATCATCATCATCATCATCATCATCATCATCATCATCATCATCATCATCATCATCATCATCATCATCATCATCATCATCATCATCATCATCATCATCATCATCATCATCATCATCATCATCACCACCACCATCATCATCATCATCACCATCATCATCACCATCATCATCATCATCATCATCATCATCATCATCATCATCATCATCATCATCATCATCATCACCATCATCATCATCATCATCATCACCATCATCATCACCATCATCATCCATTTTGAATTTAATAAGTATACAAGTTAATAAAGGGTGTTCATTTTATCACTATATCCCTATAAAAATATCTTGTGCCATCATTGAGTACATTCAATGAAGACCAGTTCATGAACATTTACAACACCTGTAACAAAAAAAAAAAAATAAATAAACAAATCTTCAAGAACTGAAAACAGATCCTCAAATTGTGGGCACCAAGATCCCTATGGGATCTCTTGTATTTAAAGTTTTGTCCATTTTTACCGTTTTGCCAATAGATCAAAAATGAAAAGTTTAATGTTGATATAGAAATGTAAGCTGTGGGATTTTTGAGTGAGAATTATACAAAGTTTGTAAAATTAAAACATAGATTTTCACAGTTAAAAGTTGCTCCTGCTAGAAGAAAATAGACTCAAGTCGTGTAAATTTTATTGTTGAGAAAATATGACTTTATTTACTTCATTCACTCTGTTAAATGTGTAAGGGATAAGTTTAAGTGGACATCTTTTCAAGTCCTTCTTTTGCCCACAAATCCATCAAGTTCAAAAACAAATGTCCAAGCCCACCATTAATCAGGTCACAGTGTCCTAATTATACGATATATTTTCCTCTGCAGTAAATGTCCAAGCCCACCATTAATCAGGTCACAGTATCCTAATTATACGATATATTTTCCTCTGCAGTGAATGTCCAAGCCCTCCGGTCTACACCATGGCTCTGGGAATGTCCCTCCTCACATCCCATAAGGGAAAACCGCATATCCAGATATGGGAAGTGGGACGCCTTAGAGGAAGTGGCAACACGCCAAAACTTAGACACACCTTCAACATTTCCACCATGTTTGAGTAAGTAATTTATCTTAAATTCTGAAACATTTTCGACCTCATCCTAATATGTTTAACATCACTGAGAGGCTGAGAACAAATTCAGTAACGATTTTAAAGTGAACTTTACGTTTTGTGTTTACATCAGGCTGGAACTAATTAAGGGATTTTTGCACTAATACCTAATAAGGATATTAAGTCTGAACCTGTTTGTAAATTGTGTTATGTCTAAATCAGTTTGTAAATCGTGTTATGTCTAAATCAGTTTGTAAATCGTGTTATGTCTGAACCAGTTTGTAAATTGTGTTATGTCTGAATCAGTTTGTAAATCGTGTTATGTCTAAATCAGTTTGTAAATTGTGTTGTCTAAATCAGTTTGTAAATCGTGTTATGTCTGAACCAGTTTGTAAATTATGTTATGTCTGAATCAGTTTGTAAATTATGTTATGTCTAAATCAGTTTGTAAATCGTGTTATGTCTAAATCAGTTTGTAAATTGTGTTATGTCTAAATCAGTTTGTAAATTGTGTTATGTCTAAATCAGTTTGTAAATCATGTTATGTCTGAACCAGTTTGTAAATCGTGTTATGTCTAAATTAGTTTGTAAATCGTGTTATGTCTGAACCAGTTTGTAAATCGTGTTATGTCTAAATCAGTTTGTAAATCGTGTTATGTCTGTAACGTAGGACAAGCGTCGGATTAAGATGTTTCAGCAAGAAAGCAAGAACTCAAAATATTGTATAGAAAACAATCACAATGTATTACATACAAGTATATAATCACACTAAAGCACATCCACACTCACTCTTACTTCCTCTAACAAGCACACAAAGTTCCAAAAAGGCGTCCAACACAGCACGGCACAACACGGTCACAGAATACGTCTAAGTCCTTTACACAACAAGAAACAAGGTAGCAGCTGAACCGCAGCCCTGCTGAGGCTCCCATGAACAAGAGTTCCACACGGGTGTCTATCAGGGGGACTTCCAAGCCTTCCCCACCACATACAACACCAGAGACGTAGTGTATGCTCTACCACCTAGATAGTGTGCTCCAAACTATCCCCGACAGTTGAGGACATGTCTCCCTTCGACGGAGATTCTCTACGGTGATGAAAATGCCATCGGTGCCTTGACCCGACTGTACCGACCAACAATTTTCCTGTGGCTGACCTGGGTCTATGACCGGCCCCGTTGCCGAAGCTGTGGTTCCTCAGGTCCAGATAGGCGTATTTGTAGACTCTCACTCCGGAATGGAAAGCTTAAACAACAAACAATACACACAAACATTCACTCCGATAACCATCACAAAAATGACAACATATCATCCATACAATGTACACTACATACGTTAAATACCTAATTATTCATTCCATATGGGAATAAATACACAATATTTGCTTTAATTCTCAAGCAAAGTCGTGCGGTGGTCCATACTTACGCTATAATTTTGACAAACAAAGTAACGCATATGGTGACTAAAGGCTTCCATACTTTTTTAAACCGGCGATACTCAGTGGACTATAGTTCACCTGTACAGGGACATTAATACAAAAGTTATCATTTAAGCCCTGCTATATACGACAAATGACATTTGATAAACATAATATTAAGACTTAAGCGATCAAAACATGGAAATATTAATATATCAACAAAACATCCACGTTTACAACTCTAATCAATTGCTACGCTTGATTGGACTGCACACTAAGATATTTATATTAGAAATACATTTTTCGCGGAAAATAAGACACTCTAATAGACAATTAGTAAAGAGAAAGAGATGTAACAATATTAGTTACTCACCACAGTCTGTATTCCGTGCCTGTATCCATGAGAATCGGAAAAATTGACTACAGGTAAACACTACACAGCCATTAATATCGGCATACCTTACCTGTAGTGACACTCGCCAAATTCCGCACGTGCACTTCCGTTTTAGCCGTACTTACAATCGTGCCATACGGACTTATGTATAAGAACAGACGAATCATAGAAAAAATCTATACAAATAATTACATGCGAACGTGACAATGTCTAAATCAGTTTGTAAATCGTGTTATGTCTAAATCAGTTTGTAAATCGTGTTATGTCTAAATCAGTTTGTAAATCGTGTTATGTCTAAATCAGTTTGTAAATCGTTTTATGTCTAAATCAGTTTGTAAATCGTGTTATGTCTAAATCAGTTTGTAAATCGTGTTATGTCTGAACCAGTTTGTAAATTGTGTTGTCTAAATCAGTTTGTAAATCGTGTTATGTCTAAATCCTGTTATGTCTAAATCAGTTTGTAAATCGTTTTATGTCTAAATCAGTTTGTAAATCGTGTTATGTCTAAATCAGTTTGTAAATTGTGTTGTCTAAATCAGTTTGTAAATCGTGTTATGTCTGAACCAGTTTGTAAATCGTGTTATGTCTAAATCAGTTTGTAAATCGTATTATGTCTAAACCAGTTTGTAAATCGTGTTATGTCTAAATCAGTTTGTAAATTATGTTATGTCTAAACCAGTTTGTAAATTGTGTTATGTCTAAACCAGTTTGTAAATTGTGTTATGTCTGAACCAGTTTGTAAATCTTGTTATGTCTAAATCAGTTTGTAAATCGTGTTATGTCTGAACCAGTTTGTAAATCTTGTTATGTCTAAATCAGTTTGTAAATCGTGTTATGTCTGAACCAGTTTGTAAATCGTGTTATGTCTAAATCAGTTTGTAAATCGTGTTATGTCTGAACCAGTTTGTAAATCGTGTTATGTCTAAATCAGTTTGTAAATCGTGTTATGTCTGAACCAGTTTGTAAATCTTGTTATGTCTAAATCAGTTTGTAAATCGTGTTATGTCTAAATCAGTTTGTAAATCGTGTTATGTCTGAACCAGTTTGTAAATTGTGAGTTTTGTTTTATATCTTCTCCTGTTACTTTATGGGTGTTGAAGAAAAGTGGGGAGGGGGGAGGGTGGGGGAGACTTTATAGTTTTCAATATTGATGGGCCCTGTTTTTAATCATTGTTGTACCTCCCTCCTTGAGGACTTCACTTGTTCATATTTACACAATAGTAACATACAATGTAACATCATCTGCCTGAGTAGATTCTGGTTTGTGGAGTAGAGGCATTAGTGAGATATAGACAATACAACTTTTTGAAATTCTCATATAGACAATACATTTTCATCGTCTACTCATATAGATCAGGAATAACCACATCAACATAATTTGCATAATCCAGTTCTGTTTTATCCTAGCAATAAGCCCATGCCATATAATAAGCCCATCCATGTCTTTTTCAGAGATTTAAAAATTCTCTGCCCTACATATAGCAACAAGCTACCCCCACATATTGTTCAATATCACTAAACACTGGCTTCCTGGGCTTATTGCAGGGTAAATACAGTAAACGTTCCAATCAAAGCATTTGAGATCACTCTAGTATAGACCTACAGAAATAACAGCATTTGATGTTTTAGCTATTTGTTTCATTTAACAAATTTGATCAATTCTTCTATTGTCACAATACAATGTCTACTCATATAGACAATACAATGTCTACTCATATAGACAATACAATGTACACTCATATAGACAATACAATGTACACTCATATAGACAATACAATGTCTACTCATATAGACAATACAATGTACACTCATATAGACAATACAATGTCCACTCATATAGACAATACAGTGTCTACTCATTTTACAGACAATACAGTGTCTACTAATATAGACAATACAATGTACACTTGTATAGACAATACAGTGTCTACTCATATAGACAATACAGTGTCTACTCATTTTACAGACAATACAGTGTCTGCTCATTTTAAAGGTCAGTTGATAACACATTTATTTCCAGTCTCACAATTCTTCCCTGCCTTATTCCTTTCAGCTTGCCAGCCAATCAGAGTCGAGTGACCTCCCTGACACTAGTGCAGGACAATGGCATGGCTTGGGTCGGCACAGGCGGAGGTCATATTGCACTTATTGACCTCAAGTCAAAGACGGGTGTGGCCATCACACATAGATACTCTGGTGCAATTAGGAGTCTCATTTATCTCCGTCCAAAAGGTATATCCAGATATTCTAAAAGTTTCTGTAAGTTTGGAGTACTTTGTTTAATGGAATTTGAAGCAATATGAAGCAATTTAGTGATGTCATCAGAACCTAAATTTGACCTTAGTCCTACATTAAATAATGTCCAGTCTCAAGTTTTTGTGTATTACAGGTCACTGAAAATTCATATTTGGGCTGTGAGTTCATGTCAGTAATGCAGTGTGTCATGTGTCAAAAGCAGGTCACTGACATATATTTTGACCTTTGTCCTACAGCATTAAAGATTTGTCTGGGCTTCACTTTTAAAAATATTTGCTACTTTAACTACTTACTGGATAACCTAGATGGGTTGGCATTTGTTTACTAAAAGTAAGTCATGTTGACCTTCTCCATCCAGCAGATTAATTAGCAATAGTAACATAAATACTATTAGATATGGTGTGTTTTGTGAAGTATTTGTTGTCTAGAATTACTCCCTTGTGGCATCCTGCCAAATTGTCCTCTTAAATTAATTTTACAAATGTACATAATACATAAATTTCATGTTTTAGGAAATTTCAAATATCCAGCGGTCCTCAGTGGTGGAATGGGATTCAAGGATAGGCCTGGAGGTGAAGGGGTAAAAGGTAAGTTTAAGGGTCAAATGTCTCTGTATGATTTCATAAGTGAGTTGAGATTATCAGGAATAGGACACCCTGTCCCAATCACATCCTGTCACCATCACCATCACACCCTGTCACCATAACTATCACATCCTTTCCCCATCACTGTCCCATCCTGTCCCCATCACATCCTGTCACCATCACATCCTATCCCCATCACATCCTGTCACCATCACATCCTGTCACCATCACTATCACATCCTGTCCCCCATCTCATCCTGTCCCCACCACATCCTGTCACCATCCCATCCTGTCCCCATCATATCCTGTCACCATCACATGCTGTCACTATCACATGCTGTCACCATCACATCCTGTCACCATCACATCCTGTCACCATCACCATCACATCCTGTCACCATCACATCCTGTCACCATCACATCCTATCACCATCACATCCTGTCACCATCACATCCTGTCACCATCACATCCTGTCCCCATCACATCCTGTCACCATCACATCCTGTCACCATCACATCCTGTCCCCATTACATCCTATCCCCATCACATCCTGTCACCATTACATCCTGTCACCATCCCATCCTGTCACCATCACATCCTGTAACCATCACATCCTGTCACCATCACATCCTGTAACCATCACATCCTGTCACCATCACATCCTGTCCCCATCACATCCTGTCACCATCACATCCTGTCACCATCACATCCTGTCACCATCACACCCTGTCACCATCACATCCAATCACCATCACATCCTGTCACTATCACCATCACATCCTGTCACCATCACATCCTGTCCCCATCACATCCTGTCACCATCACATCCTGTCACCATCACATCCTGTCCCCATCACATCCTGTCACCATCACACCCTGTCACCATCACATCCAATCACCATCACATCCTGTCACCATCACATCCTGTCACTATCACATCCTGTCACCATCACATCCTGTCCCCATCACATCCTGTCCCCATCACATCCTGTTACCATCACATCCTGTCCCCATCACAACCTGTCACCATCACATCCTGTCACCATCACATCCTGTCACCATCACATCCTGTCACCATCACACCTATCACCATCACATCCTGTCACCATCACATCCTGTCACCATTATATCCTATCCCCATCAAATCCTGTCACCATCACATCCTGTCACCATCACTATCCTGTCACCCTGTCATCACATCCCATCACATCCTGTCCCATCACATCCTGTCACCATCCACCATCACATCCTGTCACCATCATCCTGTCACCATCACCATCATCCTGTCACCATCACATCCTGTCACCATCACATCCTGTCACCATCCATCACATCCTGTCACCATCACATCCTGTCACCATCACATCACATCCTGTCACCATCCTGTCACATCCCATCCTGTCACCATCACATCCTGTAACCATCACATCCTGTAACCATCACATCCTGTCACCATCACATCCTGTCACCATCCACCTATCACCATCCTCCTGTCACCATCACATCCTGTCACCATCCTATCCCCATCCTGTCACCATCACATCCTGTCACCATCACATCCTGTCACCATCACTATCACATCCTGTCACCATCACATCCTGTCCCCATCACACCCTGTCCCCATTACACCCTGTCACCATCACATCCTGTAACCATCACATCCTGTAACCATCACATCCTGTCACCATCACATCCTGTCACCATCACATCCTGTCACCATCACATCCTGTCACCATCACACCTATCACCATCACATCCTGTCAGCATCACATCCTGTCACCATCACATCCTGTCACCATCACACCTATCACCATCACATCCTGTCACCATCACATCCTGTCACCATCACATCCTGTCACCATCACCATCACACCCTGTCCCCCATCACATCCTGTCACCATCACACGCTGTCACCATCACATCCTGTCACCATCACATGCTGTCACTATCACATGCTGTCACCATCACACCTATCACATCACATCACCCCCATCACAACCTGTCACCATCACATCCTGTCACCATCACATCCTGTCACCATCTCATCCTGTCACCATCACATCCTGTCACCATCACATCCTGTCCCCATCACATCCTGTCACCATCACATCCTGTCACCATCACATCCTGTCACCATCACATCCTGTAACCATCACATCCTGTCACCATCACATCCTGTCACCATCACATCACATCCTGTCACCATCACATCCTGTCACCATCACATCCTGTCACCATCACATCCTGTCATCACATCACATCCTGTCATCCTGTCACCATCACATGCTGTCACCATCTCATCCTGTCACCATCACATCCTGTCACCATCTCATCCTGTCACCATCACCATCACATCCTGTCACCCATCACATCCAGTCACCATCACATCCTGTCACCATCACATCCTGTCACCATCACATCCTGTCACCATCACATCCTGTCACCATCACCATCACATCCTGTCACCATCACAACCTGTCACCATCACATCCTGTCACCATCACATCCTGTCACCATCACATCCTGTCACCATCACATCCTGTCACCATCACATCCTGTCACCATCACATCCTGTCACCATCACATCCTGTCACCATCCCATCCTGTCACCATTACATCCTATCCCCATCACATCCTGTCACCATCACATCCTGTCACCATCACATCCTGTCACCATCACATCCTGTCACCATCACATCCTGTCACCATCACATCCTGTCACCATCACATGCTGTCACTATCACATGCTGTCACTATCACACCCTGTCACCATCACATCCTGTCACCATCACCATCACATCCTGTCCCCCATCACATCCTGTCACCATCACATCCTGTCACAATCACACCTATCACCATCACATCCTGTCACCATCACATCCTGTCACCATCACATCCTGTCACCATCACATCCTGTCACCATCACACCCTGTCACCATCACACCCTGTCACCATCACATCCTGTCACCATCACATCCTGTCACCATCACCATCACATCCTGTCCCCATCACATCCTGTCACCATCACACCCTGTCACCATAACACCCTGTTACCATCACATCCTGTCACCATCACACCCTGTCACCATCACACCCTGTCACCATAACACCCTGTTACCATCACATCCTGTCACCATCACCATCACACCCTGTCACCATCACATCCAATCACCATCACATCCTGTCACCATCACACCCTGTCCCCCATTACATGCTGTCACTATCACACCCTGTCACCATCACATCTTATCACACTTTACATCTTAGTATCATCAAGTCCTATTTTATACCTGATCAGATCCTGTTTTTGCAGAGATTGTGAACATCCATCTCTTGACATTTAATCTTGAACATATAGAAGAATCAGAACTGAAATTTGAGTGAACTTCCCAAAACTTGCTGTAATGCATGCTGATGTTTGTTTCCAGAATACAGTTGTTTGGCGGTTTGGGACTCTAATTATGATCAAACATTCCGGCTGTTCCTCAAATACTTGGAGTTAAGACAAGATAAGGAAATAGAGCAAATGAACTTGTTCAATGTCACATGTTCTGACTAGACATGTTCACAAACATGTGATTCAGTGTTGATGAATGAGTGGCCTTAATTTTACTTTCCTCGGGCAGCTTTTTTCATCAGACAGACACACAGCTAATACACAGAATCTTTTATATTGAGAGATATCTATAACATATACGTAAGTTTCTTAAGTTTTTGTGTACAGATGTTGTCTATATGTTTCTCTGTACAGATGTTGTCTGTATGTTTCTCTGTACAGATATTGTCTATATGTTTCTCTGTACAGATGTTGTCTATATGTTTCTCTGTACAGATGTTGTCTATATGTTTCTCTGTACAGATGTTGTCTATATGTTTCTCTGTACAGATGTTGTCTATAAGTTTCTCTGTACAGATGTTGTCTATATGTTTCTCTGTACAGATGTTTCTCTGTACAGATATTGTTTAATGTTTCTCTGTATGGATGTTGTCTATGTTTCTCTGTACAGATGTTGTCTATAAGTTTCTCTGTACAGATGTTGTCTATATGTTTCTCTGTACAGATATTGTCTATAAGTTTCTCTGTACAATAAGGTACAATTGATGTAAAACTATTTGTCATTGATGCTATTTTATATCATTATTGATATAGAAAGGATGTTGTGATCTTGTGGTATCATCATCCCTGTTTCTCTGTTTACATGATTGGGTCCAGGATGTGCATTAATTATTTCTCTTGTGATTACCTCCCCTGTTCTTTACGTATCATTGTCGTCGTTTCCTTATTCCTTTATAATCATTAATTGCTTCCATCTTCTTAATACAATTGATTATTACCATTTCTGTTTTGACCTGATAACTTGCTGAAGTGATGATCTCCCCTGTTTTGTGATTTTGGCTGTGATTTACATGTTAATTCCCATATTGTCCATAGATTACCTTCCCTGTTCTTAAATTGTCTTCTATGTTTTTACATGTCTATCCTGTATTTTATTATTCTCATTTTTATTTTAACATGATTTTAACAAGATTTGAACATCCCATGATTATCTCCCCGTTTTTAGCCCACCATCATCAGATGGTGGGGTATTCAAATCACCCTGCGTCCGTGGTCCGTAATCTGTCCGTCCGTCCGTAAACAATTCTTGTTACCGCTATTTCTGGGAAAGTACTGGAAGGATCTTTCTCATATTTCATATGCAGTTTTCCCTTGGTCCCTAGTTGTGCATTGTACCTTTTTTGGACTGATTTGAATTCCAGATGGCCGACAGACAGTCATCTTGGATTTTAGAAGTAAAAGTTTGTTACCGCTATTTTTGGGAAAGTACTGGATGGATCTTTCTCAAATTTCATATGCAGTTTCCACTTGTAATTTATTAATGTTTGTTATATGTTTTACATGATGACTTTTTCTGATGTCTAATTACCTCCCCTGATATTTACATATTTGTTCCCTTCCCCCCTCCCCCCCTGTTATTTATTATAATAATTGCTGCCCTCTCCAATCTTTATATGATCATTTTCCTAGTTACCTTGTGGACATATTTTCTCTGATGTCTAATTACCTCCCCTGATATTCACATATTTGTTCCCTCCCCCCCTGTTATTTATTACAATAATTGCTGCCCTCTCCAATCTTTATATGATCATTTTTGTAGTTACCTTGTGGACATATTTTCTTTGATGTCTAATTACCTCCCCTTATAATTACTTATTTGTCATTGATCATCCCTAACCCTCACCTTCCAAAACCTCTCGCTCTCAACAGTTATTTAATTGGTTGTTTCTTAAGTCTTTACCAGAATGTTTTCTAGATATCTTATTATCTCCCCTTGATTTTTATGTAATTGTCAGTCATTTAATTGGTTGTCTCATAAATCTTATGTGATAATTTTCTCAGTTTTTTCATATCAATATCTTATGTGATGTGTAATTACCTCCCCTAGTCTTTACATCATTGTTTGATTATCCTTTTCTCAACAATACTGCAAATATACATATTTCAGCAGTAATCTTATTTTACCAGTTCACACTTAAAATATGGTGCTATAAACTAGGATTTCACTAATTGTCACTCCTGTACACACAGCAATGCTAATGCTTGAATCCAATATTGGGATAACTTTCAGAAAATTTCTGAAAAGAACCAATATTTATTATATAAGTGGATTTTCCTGCCCTGATATGTACTATTTATCAGCATACCCTTGTTGTAAGATTTGATGGTTGTGTGATCATTATGTAATTGTTATCCCTTAATTTTTTTTAATATTTTCTGATTGATAATGTTAATTAATTGCCTCCATTCATGATGATCATTACCAATATTCTTGATATTTGTTTTGATATGGACCTAATCAATTGTGATTTTGTTAAGTTTTAAGTGCTTTAACTTTGATGGTGCTAATGTTACTATATATGGTGGTTGTTAATTTGGTACTGGTTTAGGGTTACAACACTCCTACAGTTGTAGGAAGGATTTTGTGTGTACCGTATGTACATTCCTCCAAAAAGGTGTTATTTAACTTCATACTGCAATGTCATTGGTTTCTGTGAGAGTTTAATTTTTACTGATTTTGTGGTTACCTAAAACCACAAAAATATATGTCCACAAAATGACTAACAGCTCGGTATACACAATAACTTAGTAGTAGGAGATATTCTGAGTTCTATTTTTTCCACAAAATCAGAGTCAAAGAGAGTGGAATGTGATAAAAATCCATGAAGATTAAGTCCAACAAAAAATATGATGGTACAGTAATGTAACAGAGATCAATGGTCATATTAATGTCTCCGCTAGGATTCCAACATGAGACAAATGGCTTACTAGTGTGACGCTTAACTGTTTGAGCTTAAGAGAAATTCTCTTCAGCCCAGTGGTATTTTATGGCTAGTATTTACCATGGTTACTGAGCTAAAGAGAAGTTCTCTCTAACTGAGTGGTATATTGTGGCTAGTATTTACCATGGTTACAGAGCTAAAGAGAAGTTCTCTCTAGCCGAGTGGTATATTGTGGCTAGTATTTACCATGGTTACAGAGCTAAAGAGAAGTTCTCTCTAGCCGAGCGGTATATTGTGGCTAGTATTTACCATGGTTACAGAGCTAAAGAGAAGTTCTCTCTAGCCGAGTGGTATATTGTGGCTAGTATTTACCATGGTTACAGAGCTAAAGAGAAGTTCTCTCTAGCCGAGCGGTATATTGTGGCTAGTATTTACCATGGTTACAGAGCTAAAGAGAAGTTCTCTCTAGCCGAGCGGTATATTGTGGCTAGTATTTACCATGGTTACAGAGCTAAAGAGAAGTTCTCTCTAGCCGAGCGGTATATTGTGGCTAGTATTTACCATGGTTACAGAGCTAAAGAGGAGTTCTCTCTAGCCGAGTGGTATATTGTGGCTAGTATTTACCATGGTTACAGAGCTAAAGAGGAGTTCTCTCTAGCCGAGCGGTATATTGTGGCTAGTATTTACCATGGTTACAGAGCTAAAGAGAAGTTCTCTCTAGCCGAGTGGTATATTGTGGCTAGTATTTACCATGGTTACAGAGCTACAGAGAAGTTCTCTCTAGCCGAGCGGTATATTGTGGCTAGTATTTACCATGGTTACAGAGCTAAAGAGAAGTTCTCTCTAGCCGAGTGGTATATTGTGGCTAGTATTTACCATGGTTACAGAGCTAAAGAGAAGTTCTCCCTAGCCGAGTGGTATATTGTGGCTAGTATTTACCATGGTTACTGAGCTAAAGAGAAGTTCTCTCTAGCCGAGTGGTATATTGTGGCTAGTAGTTACCAGGGTTACAGAGCTAAAGAGAAGTTCTCCCTAGCCGAGTGGTATATTGTGGCTAGTATTTACCATGGTTACTGAGCTATAGAGAAGTTCTCCCTAGCCGAGTGGTATATTGTGGCTAGTATTTACCATGGTTACAGAGCTAAAGAGAAGTTCTCCCTAGCTGAGTGGTATATTGTGGCTAGTATTTACCGTGGTTACTGAGCTAAAGAGAAGTTCTCTCTAGCCGAGTGGTATATTGTGGCTAGTATTTACCATGGTTACTGAGCTAAAGAGAAGTTCTCTCTAGCCGAGTAGTATATTGTGGCTAGTATTTACCATGGTTACTGAGCTAAAGGGAAGTTCTCTCTAGCCGAGTGGTATATTGTGGCTAGTATTTAACAGTTACAATATTTTGATTTTTTATTATGCTGAATATAAAAGTTTAGAGGTAAAAATCTATCATGTTTGGTCTAGTTTTCTAGAAACTGTCAAAAATTCTCAGTATTGAAAGGTGCTAATCACTTTTGTTTCTTTATACAAAGATACATTAATTATGTTGTGTTCAAACCTTAATTATGTGGTGTTTCCAAACCTTAATTATGCTGTGTTTCCAAACCTTAATTATGTTGTGTTTCCAAACCATAATTATGTGGTGTTTCCAAACCTTAATTATGATGTGTTTCCAAACCTTGATTATGTCGTGTTACCAAACCTTGATTATGTCGTGTTTCCAAACCTTGATTATGTCGTGTTTCCAAACCTTGATTATGTCGTGTTTCCAAACCATGATTATGTCGTGTTTCCAAACCTTGATTATGTCGTGTTTCCAAACCTTGATTATGTCGTGTTTCCAAACCTTGATTATGTCGTGTTACCAAACCATAATTATGTGGTGTTTCCAAACCTTGATTATGTCGTGTTTCCAAACCTTGATTATGTCGTGTTACCAAACCATAATTATGTGGTGTTTCCAAACCTTAATTATGTTGTGTTTCCAAACCTTGATTATGTCGTGTTACCAAACCATAATTATGTGGTGTTTCCAAACCTTGATTGTGTCGTGTTACCAAACCTTGATTATGTCGTGTTACCAAACCATAATTATGTTGTGTTTCCAAACCTTGATTGTGTCGTGTTTCCAAACCTTGATTATGTCGTGTTTCCAAACCATAATTATGTTGTGTTCAAACCATAATTATGTTGTGTTTCCAAACCTTGATTATGTCGTGTTTCCAAACCTTGATTATGTCGTGTTTCCAAACCTTAATTATGTCGTGTTTCCAAACCATAATTATGTCG